ATCTGCTGTCAGAGCACAACTCTCAGAAAAACTTGGTGCAAAGACTGTGTGTTGCTAAAAAAAATTACAGCATCAAATTATGGCGAAGCAGATGGTAGAGTGGGTTAGGAAAACTTGGGAGTGCATTGAGTTTTCAAATAACATAGGGTGCATAACTGTGAAAGCATCTGTGCTTGGATTTTTAAAGAACTTATTCCAAATACCATATTTTGGAAATAACTACCTGAAACCTATGTGCTGGTCTTCCATTCCTCACTTCATTGAACTTTTTAACACACTAGGCAATGGGAGTATTTCAGTCAAGTAAAAACACTTACAGCTAAAGTTTAATAAGCTGTTTTGGAGAAGGTTATATATATATATTATTTTATTATTCAGTTTAATAGTACTAAAAGACCTTCAAAGAGAAGACACACCAACACCACAAGAAGGAGAGAATAGGAGAGACATGAGAGAAAGGCAGGGCAGTATCTGATCAGAGGGATTGGAGAACTCCAGGGTGTGCCATGCCAGGTTGTTGCTTGGCCAGAAGGTGGCGCTCTTTCGTCTGGACTGGAATTTAAATCAAGTTCCTGACTAGCTGCTCATTAAAGATCCTCTGTGATGTTTTTTGTCAGAATAACTGGGTTAATCCTGATGTCGTGGCTCGGCTCCATTGTTCAATCTGGCTGGTTTAAAGTTTTCAAATTCTCCTTTAGTCCAATAGAAATTCTTCAATTTCTGCTAGTAAGGGAGGTAATAAATCTTTATTAGTAGTAGGAGTAGCGGTGGTAATAGTAGACCTGCCCTCCTTCATGCCACTCATCTTACAAGACCTTACAAGTGACACAAACACCCATATTGGAGGTTTAGCACTGTTAAGAGGAGAAGCCAGTTCCTCACTGACAGCTCTGCATGTTTGTCAAGGTCCGAGAGATCCCCAGCTGACTGATCCCACCCTGCCCTCAGCTCCTTACACACAACTGCTTAGAGAATCCCAATCACAGTCGCCTAGTCACATAACCCAGGTTCGAACCCGTGACACCTGGATCATATAGCCCAACCTCTCAAGTTTTTATTAAAACTTTGTGTCTACCTGTTGGGTTTAATGAATAAAATTGCGTAGAATTATTTTATCTCCTATTTGTGTGTAAGGTCTTTTACACAGTCGTAGGTGCGTAACCCCAGAGCTAAGCTCCTAGCAGAAGAGGTCTCCAAGTCCAGTCTGTCAGAGTGCAACCTGGGCACTGCAGTATCTTGTTGAACAACTTCCAGCAGTGAGTGAGAGGATGCACGGTAGTACAGGTGTGTTTTTTCAATGAAGGTTAGGGCTCTGGACTCTGGAGAGTCAGATGGATTCAAATCCTGTGAGAAATGTTGCGGTTGTACATTAAAACAAGGCTCTCCACTCATATTGCTCCAGAAAAATGTTATACAGTATACAGTAAATGAGTGCTCTTCAGATCATCGCTGTAAAATGTAACTTGCTGTCAAATGACCTACAGTACCTAGTTAAAAGATTAAAAACAACAGTGTATAAGAATGGAAATATAATTTAAGACTATAAAGCTTTACCATATTGCAATATAAGTCCATATTGTATGTCATTTATTACATATTCTCATTTATTCATCTTGTCCATTCCACTTCTTACAGCCTACATTTACAGTGCATGATTGTTAGCATTTTTCTATTAGTACTCCAGTGTTTGACACTGAAGTCTTCCAGCACAGAAATTACTCTCTGATTGTAGTATTACCTCTATGGAAATTTGTTGTGGGATGAAATGACTTTCATCTGAACTTGCTGTACGCTCTGTGGGAAGATGCTGCAACAGCTTCCTAATAATTAAATCCTAATTTATGCACAGTGAATTAGCACAGAGAAACATCTCCATAAATCCAGTAGAAACATGTTTTGCAGTTTCTATTCTAAACTTCCATGTATGTGCTTAGTTTTTTAGGAGCATTACTCTGTCAAAGAATGACTTCTGCATTGTGATTGTGCTTTTTAATTTTGTCATTGTTTTGGGGTGTAATGAGTTCATATTGATTGTCTTCCCTCTGTTTCTCTTCACCAGAATGTGGAGGAAGGGAGGGGTGAGGTCGGCTCTATTGAGCTTTGAAGATATTTAGCTCTAATTAAGTTTTTCCCCAGAGAAACTGGGAAGGGGGAAAAATGAAAACTCCCTGCACTTGAGTGCATTAGAGCGATCGATTTCATTTTTACACTGATATTACTGCTCTGTCAGGAGGTCCTTGGGGAAATTTTGCCTTGTATTCATAAAACGTTTTATTTAGAAAATCACTGAGCTCTGGCTGTAAGATCTTCTCAAGCTTGTATACTGTATGTCCTATTTCACATTCGCAATTGAGCAGTCAGATCCACAGCATTGCTGTCCATTTGGGGTGGAAGTGAATGACTTGGGGATAAAGATTATCAAGGATTGTGTGGAAGGCAAGAGATCCACTCGAATGTGTCAAGCTCCTTCATAGTCTGAAGAGTGTTTATTCACTGAGGGGGTGGCTAGAGTACATGTGGAAAGCAGAAGAGTCTTTCTTTGCATACATTAAAAACAGTTTATTTACATGCTGTGGTAATGATGAGGACACAGCAGTCTTCACGCTCCATGCATTGTGTGACAGACGTTAATGAGATTCAAATTCAAGAAGACTACGTACAGCTCAAGCATAACTTGCATTTTTGTGTTTTGGTTGGGTGTTCTTTCAATTTTATGTACAGTATTTGGATTTCCAATTTTTACTCTGCATTGACTTAAACATTTATCTTTTTCTTATAGATCATGACTTTTCTGACTTTCAGGCTGTGTATAATCAACATCAGCCTCTGACTGTTGACCTGCCTGATTTTGATTATCTAAAATGTCTGTCCTCTTTCCGCTGCTTTAAAAGGGGAACTGCAATGCTATTTTTATATTTTGGGTTTAGAAAGAATCAGCACTGATTGGTGCATTTGAAATCACACAAAAAATTAAATGTACACAGTAACTTGTAAAACCTCCAATTTACATCACAAAATAGACTTAATTTCCAGGTATGCACAGTGCAACATTCTGCGATTCAGAATGAGACAACAAAACTTCCAGTAACACAGTGTGGCCTTATACATTGTAAACAAGCAGTCTTGCAAATAACATATCTTTTAATCCAATGGAAATATTGTTTTTGGATTCTGAGATGGTTTTGCCGACAATCACTACTTACTTGTTAACTCTGCATACAGTACAGATCACATTGGAACATTTCTGAGGTGAAATGTCTGCTGCACAAAGTTGTTCGCTCCTACAGTACACCACATTATGTTAGACATTACAGTAACTAGTGAGCAGAAAGGGTCACAATGCATTGCAATTCATGGGTTCTTGAATGCGAGTTTGCAACAATGCAGCATCATACAGTACTTTCACAAAGTTCACAATTTTGTGCTTAATTCAAAATGTGTATTTTTTTTCTATAACTTCAATGGATTTATTTTGTTACCAAGATTAAATGACCGGTGTGAGAAATTGAGGCTGAAGTTAAGTTGAAGTCTGACAAAGAAGAATATGGTTCTGCTGTTAAACCAATCACCTGAAGATATAAATGACCAAATGTGTCTCTTTTCAATTCTCAATACAGTGTATATCCATTCACATATAAGTGAGCAACATCTCATTGTATACAAGACAAGTTTCAAATACATTATTCCATGTAGTCAACTTTATTTTATATAATGATTTTCTTGGGAAGTCAGATCTAGGATCTAGTACACATGCACATACAATTTGATACCATAAATTACACTAAATTTACGTTTTACATGCTAAATGTTAATTTTTAAGGCCATATTTGTAAGTGAGACTGACTTGATTTTCTGGCTGTATGACAGTGGTTTCCAATCCTGGCCCTTGTGACACACACACCTGCTGGTTTTAGATATTTGAACAATTACTTGACCTAAGACGTTGCTTCAATTGAATATTTGCATTTTGCTTCTAGTTTTTGATTTTATTTCACTACCAAAATACAAATGTTAAAGCTCCATAATGCTTAAGAGCTGGGAACAGTTCAAATTAATCTTTTTATTATTATTAACTCAATGAAGGGCATGATTGTGTCACTGAGGACTCTGCTGGAACAAAAACCAACAGGTGCATGGATCACCAGGAGCGGGACAGGGAACCACTGCTCTTGGAAAAGGGGCAGATAGTGCAAACGACAGGCATTTTTATAGAAAGACAGTTCACTGATGTTGTCAGAAATAAAGTCCTTAGGAGTGAACAGCAGCCTTTTCAATTTTATTCTGAAATCTACAGGGAGCCAGTAAAAGGAATTGAAAACAGGTGATATACTCTTATGCACTTTAATTTTCACTGAGAACATGGCAGATGAGTTCCGAACATGCTGCAACTTGTTAAGAACATGCTTGGATACACCTGCAAGCACAACATTACAAAAATCAAGTCTGTGAAGAACACTGGCATTAGCGTCTCTACATCACATTGGGAAATGCGTGGTGATATGATCAATGTTCCAAAAAAGATAAAAAATAGTTAACATCATCTGAGCCGTGTAACAAGAGAGTGGTGCCTGACTGTTGTCAGGATAACTGGCAACTGAAAACATACATTTGAGTGTCATTTGAGTACAAACTGTCTGTTAAAGTGTCTGACCCAATGGCAACATTAAAAAGAATGGAACTGATCACAAAGATAATACAGTCAATAAAAAACATCTTATCCCTGGGCCATAACTGGAACCAGAATTCCCCTGTGACAACCCTTAATTGGGTTTAGTCTGCTGTGGTTGCTCACATTGTGGAGTTTGTACTGTGGTAAAATGATAGTTAGCAGTAACAGTTAGTAATGTCGGAGGGGGTGTGTCCACAGTTCCTCCTTTGGAAGTTGGAGGCTTAAAACCAATGTTATAAACAACTGGTGATTCCAAAACAAAGATATTTATGATCCAGTATGCAGTAGCCTTTCTGACACTCTTCTTTCCTCCCATCTGCTCCTGTTCCAGGTGTGTAAAGTCCTGAACTCCACCACCATGACCTGTCTGGCCCCCTCCCTCACCACAGAGTATCGCCCAGGTCTTGATGCAGTGGAGCGAGCCGACGAGTTTGGCTTCATCTTCAACAATGTCCAGGCACTCCTTATCTACAATAACACTAACTTCATCTACTACCCTAACCCTTCCTTTGAGCCCCTCAGTGTCACTGGCATCCTGGAGCAGAAGCCTGGCTCCCCCATCATCCTCAAGGTAGGAGATATTCACTGAAACCCGTGCACATCCATCCTTACGTTTTTGTGCTGTGTTCATCCCCTGTGATTTCTGGGCAGCTGGTTCATCTGCTTAGGTTAAGTCATGGCTTTCTGTCTGTCTTCTCACATTCCAAACAATGGTAATTTAATAGTGCATCCTTTCAGTTTGTTAACCTCCATCTTCGCTCTGTCTTGTACTTGGTTCATTTCAGTACCCCTAATGGCCTCTGTAAATAGAGGACGCCTAACTGGGTTATACAGGGTTAGAATTTGTTGGAACAATAGAAGCAGGTTGGTTAATGTAGATCCACTATGATATGTAATTAAAGCAGCTTACATATACCGTATAGGGTTTTTATCACCCTCATCACAATGATCATGTAAAGTAATTTAAAAACACATTGTGGCCCTCAAGTGTCATAACACAGTTACAACCATGGCATTAAAAGGAAATAGTGAAACCACATTTGTCCTTTTTGGATTTAAGTGCAAAAATACTTTTATGGGTGACGTTTTTTTAAAACATCTCTAACACTAGTAAAATTGATAGTTGATTATATTTTGGGAATACCCTGAAGGATGTGATTTCTGTCTCCAAGACACACAAGATGCCAACAGCAGATTAAAAATGTGTTACTCTACAATTTTTATACGAGTAGTATCAAGTATTCATATCCAGTTTTTGTTATTTTTACAGTGCTGTGGGTGAGCCAGAACATGCCTGCAGTGTAACAGCCCTCTGTGTATATTCTTATCTTCCCCCAGGGCAGGAATCTGGTGCCACCAGCCTCAGGAGGTGCCAAGCTGAACTACACAGTGCTGATCGGGGAGACGCCCTGCTCTGTCACCGTCTCCGAGACACAGCTCCTGTGTGAGCCGCCGAACCTCACGGGGCAGCACAAAGTGCTGGTCAGTTTATTTGCCTGTCTATCCTTCTCTCCCTCGGCATCTTGGTTCCTCAGTCTTTTTCTCTGTCCTTGAAGAACCTACTCCATGGTCCTTTGTATTTTTTCCACCTCTGCGGCAGTCCTCGTTGTGCCAACCCTAGTCTCCTGTTGCTCTGCAAGCACAGATCCTTTACCAATTGTTTTCCCAATCCTCCACTCCCAATCCTGGTCCAGGTGACCTACACACCTGCTGGTTTAGGTAATTGAAGCTTTATTTGATGTACAGTAAGACGTTGCTTCAATTGAATATTTGCATTTCATTTCGAGTCACAAGTATGGGATTTTGTTTCACTTACAAACTACAAAGCTTAAAGCTCTCACATGCTTAAGAGCTGTGAATGCACAGTTTAAATTCATTGTATTGTTATTATGGCAATACAATTGTCAAAAAAACATGTAACTAAGGGCTCAGCTGGAACAAAAACCAACAGATAGTGTGGGTCTGTGGGTCCACCAGGACTCATGATGTTGTGTGTACTCTGGAACTCCTGCAGCACTGGGAAATGGCAGTTCAGTCGTTCTGTAGAGCTGTGCAGTGCCAAGGTCTGATTTAACAGGAAAAGTTTGTTGCCTGCTGTTGGTGGAGGGGAGTCCGACCCCAGCGTATTTACAGGGGGGGCTGTTTCTGTCTTTGTGCAGGTCCAGGTGGGCGGCCTGCACGTCTCCCCCGGCTCCGTGCACGTGCTCTCGGACAGCCTTCTCACCTTGCCCGCCATCGTCAGCATCGCGGCTGGCGGGGGCCTGCTGCTCATCATCGTCATCATTGTCCTCATCGCCTACAAACGCAAGTCCCGCGAGAACGACCTCACCCTCAAGAGGCTGCAGATGCAGATGGACAACCTGGAGTCCCGTGTGGCCCTGGAGTGCAAAGAAGGTGAGACAAGAGCATGGTACATAAAAACATAAGACAAGAGAGGAAGCATTCTAACCTATTTAACTTTAGGAAAGTTATTCATTGAGCTGTCAATGATAATCTATATGATTATTCCATTCTGCTATTGGATTTTACTTGATCCCATATGCTATTCCTGAAAGGAAATGGCAAAGTCAGCCTAATGGCTAGCTTTACTGCTCAGCATTGAACTTAAAGGCACAACTAGATGTTACAAGATATGTACTCAGAACAGAGAACTGGAGAAACTTGTGTAAAAATGTGGTAGATGTCTGGAACAACTTGCCGGATGGTACATGTCATGTTGATGAAGCTGATTCTGTGGGAACCTCCAAGAAGCAACTTACTGTAGATGACATCCTTGGAGGAATATGTTCTACCAACATCCCAAAAAGAATGATGGGTCAAATGGCCTCCTTTTATTTACAACCTCGTTATATTCTTATTTTCATAAAGAATCCCAGGCAGTTTGTTTCAACAAAATGGCTGACCATCTTGTACCAGAGAACCATAACCCTTTGTGTAAATAATTAAAGCATATCGTATCAGTATCTTCAGTACACTGATGATCACTCCCACTTCAGTGTTGTTTAATTCATATCAGATTGCACAAACTGTAGTGTCTTGCAGAAAAAAAACAGCAGAAAATACTTTCATAGTACCTTAACCCCATGTCTGTCTGTACAAATTTCATTATGATAAAATATCAATCACAGGGTTACAAATTACAGCTTACAAATGAGACAGTATAGAAATTCTAAAACCTGAAAAGGACGAAACTGCAAAATAAAAATCCTCCTTAAACATGCTTCCTTTTAATAATAGGTAAAAATGTTATATAAAAGTGCACAGGATCATTGTTATAATTTTTGCAGCATGCAAATGAAATCTGGTCCAATTTTATACAGCATTTACAACCATGCTGTGCGCCGGGCTAAATTTATACTAGGCAAAGATGTTCATTTTTATGCTAACGAGCTAGAATTATGTAACAAGAAAATTTGAGATCTCAGTGGAAAGTCTTCACCAAAGGAAGGCAATATTTAAGACAGCTCTGCTCAACAATGGCCAGAACATCTTATTTTGATTTTATTGTCACACACAGACTGCATTATGTCATGTTAATCTGTGCTGGTTAGCAATATTAAGATTTCCTTGCATGAATTTGTTTTGTTTTCTCTTGAGTGCGCAGGGTGTACATGACCGTTTGTTTCTTATGAATTCTTATGAACCAGCGTGGTTGGATCATTAGACATGACTCATTTGCGCTGATTAAACTGTTTTCAATTTGGCTCTTTTCTCCTCTGCATGATGTCTAGATGGGTCGATTCATAACATGCATTTTGCAAACCCTTATTGCAGTTTGTGAAAGCACATACTTTTTGCTTCACCTCATATGACACAATAGATAGTTAGCATGTCCTGCCTTTCTGTTCCACCTTTCTGTTCTCAGTACTGGTTCACTGTGATCCAAAGAATTGGCTTGATGATATTCTTCATCAATTCACAGCTAGTCAAGCATGATGGTCAGTAAGACCTCCTCACTGCTATATTTTTTATGTTCTGCAGTACATACAGTAGGCGTGTTAAGTGCATTGGATCTTGTTTTTGAGTGCAAGTGCTTAAATAACTTTTTCTAATGTTTGCTGCGTAAATCTTGACCTTTGCCCATGTACAGTATTTTGATCATTGAGCTTTTGTCTCCAAATACCACTATTGCATTCCCCCATCTCAAAGAGAAGCATCCAGTTAAAAAAAACTAGAAAAAAACCTGGAAGAGCTGATGGGAGTTAATGTGAGAAAACCCCTGAAGCGAGAGTTGTGATGTTAATGCGTTGCAAAAAAAAAGTGGGGCTAGATTATTTGTATCACCTGTAATAACTTTTTTTTTCCGTGCCGTCTTCTCCTCGGTTTTTTTCGCTCAGATTCCCGAGCAGCTCGTTTCGCTGCGCCTTGGAAGTGGTATCCATAGCGACCAGCCAGTGTTTACAGGAGGATATTAATCCCTGTTTGGTCCCCTAGGACTCAGTTAGAGCTCTGGCAGATGTATCAAACTGTGTCGGCCTTCTTCCTAGGTTCCTGCTTGGCTTCTCTGCTTAATAAAAACCACGTAGAAGAACCTTGAAAAAGCAGAGCAATGTATAGTATACAGTAGATAGATATCTTTTGTATAATAATCAGATTTGAATGAATGTGAATGTGATCAAATGTATGGAACACAACAACAAGCAAAACATGGAGCAGTCAGAACCACTCCCCAGTTAGTATGGCCATGGGTATAGCCTCATGCGTCTGTTTCTTTTCATTTTTGTTCTTTGTGCTTTTTTGTTTTCTGACGATGGTTAAACTGGAGACTGATAGAGCTTATGGGTATCTGCTTGAGGCTGGCAATGTTTAAAACATGGGATGTGAGCAGGTGAGTTGCCTGTGGGGAGGATTTGGGGAGATACCTAGATTCTGTCCCCTCTGTGTGTCTAATCGTGTGATCCTGTGGGCAGATCTACACCACCTTTGTCAGAGTAGAGCACCCTTAGATGTTGATTTCTATAGAATCAGCTCACAGCTAAGTGAGCATTTCTGCTGCAGTGAGGAGAGTTCAGTTGCATTTTTTTGTTTTATTGAATTTTAAAATCCACATTACTTCAAAGAGCAAACTCATTTACTTTAATGTTTAATCTGTTTGGTTTTATTTTTGTACAGCAGATTTTAATGTTCTTTAAAAAAAGCTTTAAAACCAATCAAATAGAAAAGAGTTTGCAATGCATTCTGAAGACATTACTAAATTACAGAATTCTGTAAGATACGGTACTGCTCCTTCCCAGCACACATACACACACATGAACACACACAGAACTTACTAAATTGAATAGGTTTTTGAGGCTTTCCTCAGGTTCTCAAATGTTCTTGCAACAGACTCATTCCTGTAGTTCCTGGATTGTGTTTGGAAGAGCTTACCAAGCCATATCATGGAAGCTGACTGTACTATATGGAATAAAGCTATTGCTGAAGTTCATGGATCCCTTTCATGAAATATCAGCACTGGCTTGATGAAATACCATTACCTTGTTAGTGTTTTTTTTTCCCAACATATGGTTGTCTCAGAAGCTCCCAGCTCTAGTGGCTGCACTAGACAGTGCCTCGTGTAATCTCCTAACCACCTACCTCTTCTCTGTCTGTCCACAGCCTTTGCTGAGCTGCAGACAGACATCAATGAGCTGACCAGTGACCTAGACCGAGCAGGCATTCCCTACCTGGACTACCGCACCTACGCCATGCGTGTACTGTTCCCTGGCATCGAAGACCACCCTGTGTTGAGAGAGCTTGAGGTGAGGGCACATCATCAGTACACAGCCGTGCCAAATTAAAACTAGCAACTCCTTACAAACAAATAGTAGAAATGTCCAAATTTCCCAGTATTAGTTCAGTCATCATTTAAGTTAACATCTTTCTGAATGGCTGCTCATTCAGAGCAACATACTACAAAGCTCCAGTGTGCTTCACTTTGTGTTTTTTTAGCACCTCTCTTGTTTAAGTTATCTCTTTGTGATGATATCACATTGACATGTGGTCAGAATTGTTAAAGATAGCTCAGCCGAGGAATGTTGACTTACGCTGTCCTTGGTATGTTTAACCTGTAACCAAACCTGGCGTTCATTATGTAAAGTGAAGGTCAGCATCAAGCCAGTACTAATTGCAGAACACCTGCATGTCGTAAAAGGTCTGGAAACATGAAAAACTATTAAATTGTGCTGTAACTGAAAGATTGGAGAATACATTAAGAGTGTTTCTATTTTTATATGAGGAAAAAAACATGAATTCTTAATTTAAATAATACATGCTTTAGAAAGTGGCAAACTGAGCAAGATGAACAAGAGCGATGAGAAATATTTGATATTAAAGGGTAATAATGGCATCTGGGAAGAACAGTTAAAATGCCACAGAACACAATTGTCCAGGAAGGACTGTGGAAACGTGTAACCCTCTGCTTGCTGGTGCCCCAGGTCCCAGGGAATGGGCAGCTGAGCGTGGAGAAAGCTCTGAAGATGTTCGCCCAGCTCATCAACAACAAGGTCTTCCTGCTGACCTTCATCCGCACGCTGGAGTTGCAGCGCAGCTTCTCCATGCGGGACCGCGGCAACGTGGCCTCGCTCATCATGACCGCCCTGCAGGGCAAGCTGGAGTACGCCACAGACGTCCTCAAGCACCTGCTCTCGGACCTCATCGACAAGAACCTGGAGAGCAAGAACCACCCCAAGCTGCTGCTGCGCAGGTCGGGCCACATCGCCTGGGCTGGGGCAGGGAGGCACGGGAGGAATGTAGGGAGACACGAGGACAGGCAGCAGACAGCTTCGTGAAGAAGTAGTCGGAGGAAGGGCAGGGCAAGCAAGAGAGGGACGGATCGCAGTGTCACGTTGCCGAGACACAAAGAGGAGGGATGAGTGCAATGAGGGAACACAGGAGGCAGAAGGGCAGGGTTAGGGCAGGAGCGGTACCAAGCAGGGAGAACAAAATGGTGGCTGCAAGCTGGAGAGAGTGACACAAAACTGCTGTGGCAAATCTAACTGTAGGTGCTACAAGAGCCAAGCCTCAATGGGTTTTCTTTTCTAGACCCAACTGTTTTTATGTCGCTCTTGGACTTTGACTGTTGTTTGCTGCTGGAGTTGTCTTGTGAACAGAAAGAGAGGAAAATGTCATTTTACCAACCACCAATTCTTATTGGTTGAGGTTTCGAACATAACAACAAGGGCTGTACAGTACATTTAGCCGTAAGACACAAAGCCTCTGTATTTACAGAAGCCTGTGGACGTCTCCTTGTGAGGCTGGATGGGGAGGCGCTGGGCTGGAAGGCAGGGTGTCTGATTCGTTCTTTGTCTGGGTCAGCCTGTGCAAATGGTGGAGAAGTTCATAACCCCAGTGCCCCGATGATGTGGAGAGACAGCGTGTGTCAAATCCCTGTTGCCATGTATTCTGGCCTGTTTAACCAATTATCTATTTTTTATATTTTTTTGACGAGGCAATGTAATATTCAGCACATTCTGAGGGGTGAGAGATCCCTTCACTTTACTCCTACCACCCAGACTTACTGAGTCTGTATTAGTGTTGTCAGCCTCACTTAGACTGTGTGCAGGCTATGAAAAATTTAATAGCAGCTCCAGTTTGTATTTTTTCCTTTGAATTTAAGATCTTGTTTTTTTTCCGCGACTGTGTGAAGAGACAGGTGTGTTAAATCTTTAAGGAGGGGGGAAGGGGGAGATGACATGTTCAGGGCCTCATTAAATATATGGACAGGCTAAGCGAAAGCCATTGCTGCTTCAACAGTGTTGTTAATAAAAGACACCCCCAAATGAAAAAAAAAATATATGTGTCTCCACTGGAGAAGAACCTGACAGTTCAAATGCACCATTTAGAATTTGTCGCTTCAACCTAGCCTGACAGAACAAAAGCTAATTTCTTTCATGTTTGGGAGATGTCAGAAATCCACCCTGGAAGATATTTCAGTCTTGGTGCTGATTTCCTCTCGTGTTATTTAATGTAATGCTGGGTGCCAAGAGGAAAAGTAAATAAATAAATAAGTCTCCAAGCTAACAACTGAGGTGTATCAAGTTAGATTACACTGTTACTCTTCTATGACAGATGGACAGTTACAGCCCAGTATTTTTTCATTATTTTCTTTAGTAGGAACATAATACTGTAATCTCCCAAGGTCTCCCAAGCCTTGTCCTGAAGAAGCTTGAGGCTAAGTGTTCCATAGTTTTAGATTACATTCATTTTTAAGCATTAGGGATTATCGATTTGCAATGCTTTTTTAAATTACTCTTGCTGCCAAAAGCTGGTTAAAATGTGGAACACTGAATCAGAAATAAAGCAACTGTTTTGCTTTCATTTACAGAGAAATTTAATAGAGATGGATTTTGATGTAAACTAAAATGAAACCACATTGTAACCTTGAGGCTTCTGGGTAATGCACTAGTACAAGCAGCTGTCTGGGAAGGAAATGTTCCATCGCGTTTATTTATTCTGTTTGACTGCGCGAAGGAAAGTACAACACCCTCTCCACACACAAACCCAGGCTAACATGCTCTGCAACTGCAGGCGTGGAAAAGGCAAGAGGGTCTGTTCAGATGGAAGGCAGTATATTTTACTGCTCGGATTCTGTTCACCTGCCAAGTGCACCTGTGAATATTTCCTTGATTGACTTATGCTCATGGACTGAGAGAGAGGGAGAGAGCCAAGGCAGAAAAATAAGAAAATCATTACCCCCTCTTTGAAATTCTCTACAGTCTCCATCGGGAATTCTCCCTGTGGAAGCATCTCCTTCGGAGAGTCTCCGCACTGTGTAGAATTCCACTGGTATTTGTTCGTATGGATTGTTCCCCAGCAACGATAATAAACATAAAAGGCAAAATTAAGATTACAAAGTCCCCAGCAGTGGTCAGAGCCTAATTAGCAGAGGTGTGGAATGCAGCTCCACAGTGAGTGAACAGACATTCCTGTCACATTATCTGTGTCCGTAGAGGAGACGGGTAAAAGTGAGAGAGAATCCTGGGATCTGACAAACCTTTCTTACTCAACACCCCCATTGAAGCCGAGCAGCTTGCTATAAATTATGACTTTTGTTACACTGTTCAGCCCGATTCTATGGTGAAAAGCTTGATACCACTCAATATTTCTTCAGATCAGAACAGTGTAGGAAAGTTCCTTGTATAACTTAATTTTCATTTTCTTTTTTGCAAGTGGTTGAATTTCACCCCATAGTATTATTACCTGCTTAATTTTAAATCAATTAATGCCTCAAGTATTCCTGGGAAGTTACGTAACAATTGTATATTGCATTAGTATGAAGTCTTTTGGAAACAGTCCAATTTTGGTGTTGCCGAATTGCAAAGACGAATGTTGCTGCTCTGGAATTGGTTCAAACAAGAACAAGCAGCTCAGGAATTCTCCAGACAGAGAAACTTTCATAATAAGCAGCAAAATTAATGAGGATACTTTACAGAAGTATTCAAAATCTTGAGAAGAAAATGAAATGGATTTCCTGAGGGTCAAGAATGAAACACGCATGAACATGAGTGGAGTAAAGAAATGTGCGTTTAAGAGAAGAGAACAGGAAGCGCTTCTATACAAAAAGGGATGATGACATCAGGAGCAAGCCACCCAGCCATGAATTTGAAGCCAATTCCCTGTGGTCCTTCAAGAAACTGTGTAATACAGCAGGGCTGTATATTACTCAGACCAGCCATGATTATGCTCTTTAATTCAAAAGAGATTTGTAATGCCCAGACCAATCAAGGCTACACACTTTTATGCAATAGGACTGCGTAATGGCCTGGCCAGTCAAAACTACACACTTGAATGAACCAGGCTATTAGGTTCAGGATAGTCAAAGCTACACACCTTAATACAGCAGGACTGTGCACTGGCCAGTTGAAGCTGCATATTTTAGCTGTTTTCCTCAGTTCTCAGTGCATTAGCTATGCGCCAGGCACTCTCACTGTAATTAACAATTTTTCCACACTCCTGTCTTTTGCTTCCATATTCAAAGACATTGATTTAAATCGGTTAAATAAAGGTGAAGAGCCACTGCTTGGAACAAGAAGGGTCAATTTTCCAGTTAGGAGGAATCTCTTATAAGATTTCTATGGATGTTTTTGAAAAACGAATACAGACAGGCAGAGGAGAAGTGAGACAGAGGCTTGAGAGGGGGGGAGTTTATATTTGATTCTAGACACATATTACATTTCAGTTTAAAACACAATAATAAAAAGGCAAACTATCAAAATGGCTTATGCCATATGCAAATATCAAAATAAGAAAGGGATTTTGAATACATTTTGAAAGCAGGATACATTTTGTGAAATGTCAACAACAAAATATGAAATGTACTTAAGCCTTTTCAATGACCGTTTATCTGCTTATAATTAGAGATGAGAGTGAGACGTTATTTCTACATGGTGACTGGTTGATACAGCAGGTAATGCAATAACCTTTGGGCTTGCATTCAAAATCCTTTCCCAAATTTCCTTTAGCAATGCTCCTGTGGGATAAAAAATTAACAGTAGTCATAATAATAATGACTGGCAAATATGCATGTGCTGGCGAGCATACTGAGCAAGCAATTAGCACCCTAGCTGAGTTTTGGAGAGGCATAGCAGTAAAGCTGAATATAACCCATCTTGTCTTTAATACTGTATGTGGGCCTTGAAAAGCAAAGAGAGAAGATAAAGAAAAAATATTCAGCCCCAGACAATAGACAGCCAGGACAGACTTCTATTCCTACAGCACAGCAGTAGGGAGGAGAGAGAGTAGAGTCTGTCGGGCATGATCAAATAAGGAAAAAAAGGGAAAAATGCCAGCCTGGACAATTATTACAATAAATATCAGCTTCTATTAACAGCAGAGAACACAGACTCTATAATTAATTTTCACATTTTGTAAGATGTACCTTTTTTGTCTGCTGTTTTCTCAAGGTGTAGAGGTAGATATTTGTGTGCCAACTCTTATCAAAAAGACAGCCTTCATTTAGGGTATGATGCGCACTGTTCAAGGTGTGACACCAGTCATAACTGTTAGCAGAGTTACCTTTGTGATCGCTCCAGTGGGCCCAAATGTGAAGGCAGAAGCACCCATCTTTTTGTTAAAGTTAGGCATGTCTGCAATGACAGTATTGCTTTTGGTCTCTGCATATTCAATTACAGTGCCTGTGTTTCAGGGATCGACTTGCAGGAGAAAGTTATTATAGTTTCTCAATAATAATGTGATGTGCATAGAAGCATGCATGCTGTGTGCTACTCATGTGCAGAGCTCAATATAACAGTCCTACATAACAGAGTTATACCTGTTCTCTGTGCTCTCTTTCACAGGTTTCTTCTGTTTTTAACTTGTCATTGCAGTGGCTCCTATGTACAGATGTTTACCAGAAACACTGTTTTATACATACTGAAACACAATGAAGGCTAAAAGGGGTATTTAACTTTACATGCTACCATTGCTGGCTTCTTCAGTATTCCTCCTCTGCACCAGGGTTATCCAATTCTGGTCCAAGAGAGCCAGAGTGTCTGCAAGTGTTCATTCCAACTCAGCGTGTCATGAGATAAATCGGTTAATTACTGGCTTAATTGAACCAAATGAACAGCTTCTCCTTGGTCTGCACATGCTGATGCTTTGGAGAAACCTAAAAAAACCCTGCAGATACACCAGCTCCCCAGACCTAGAACTAGATACCATTTTTCTACTTTAAATGTAAGATTGGTGCTGTGAGATTGTGTAGAAACTTGTGTAGAAAGGGAAAAAAAGACACTTGGATCTTAATACTAGTGATCGGTTTGATTTGGCTGCTGTGTATACATGTCGTGTGCCTGAAGACCTTTATAGTTTGAAGTCAGGTTTTATCCCTTATTGAAAATCATCTTTTAGGCTTTGGTTTAAACACAAAAAGTGTAGGTCCCAGAAAGCCTGTTTCTCCACAGAATTCAGTAGTCTTCTCTTTCTAAACACGCCATCAAAGCTGCTGTACTTTTATAACACAGGCAGTTGCGTCTTTTTTCCTTCACAGGAACGTATTCAAACAGAACACTGCTGTTCCCATTTAAATAATATATTCCAAAATGCTTTTTATTCAAATAGAGGACCAGGTCTAGGCTTGGAGTACTTTTTTTCATTTTATTCGTATAAATGGTCCGCAGAGACATTGTGGTTTAGAGGCTGTTACACAATCCGATCTTTTCGTTTTGTAAAGCTTTCTTTTTCTTGTGGCTCTGTCAGCGTTCTTCTGCTGCTAGCAGTTGTTCTCGTTAGCTGTGCCTGCACTGTGATCGAGGGGCAGCGCGAGAGCCATAGGCATAGGGTTCTGCCAGAGAGTCCCAGCCCTGTAACGGCCCTGGAGACCATTCAGAAAGAGGCAGGGTAACTGGGCAGTCAGTGCAGAATTCTGATGCAGAGGAACAGTAAAAACTCTCCCAGCCTCTCTCTCTTTATTACACAGCACGAGTGCTAAAATAGGAACAGCTCCATCGCTCTGAGCTATGCCCGTCTCTTTTTATAACATTTCATTTGTTTCTTTATGTTTCTAATAAGATTGCCATCCATCCAGAACAAGGCAATGGTTTATTACTAGAATGCATTTTCACATATGATGTTCCAGCTTTTCTAATCAAGCACTTGAGCCTATTTACCAGAATTAAGAGAACTCCTTCCTAATGCAGTATAGGATAATGAAACCCTGATGTTCATTAATGAAACTCAATTAGAAGCAACAGAGGGAAGGGGGACATGGGAGAGCGGGGGTGGGATAGCAGACTGAAAGGATTTTTTCTGCAATTGAAACACTGAGAAATTAAATTCACTCCACACAGCTCCATACAAAAGGATTTATTTTGTTCCCTTCTTAGGGTTTGCATGAGCTTATTAAACTGTTTAATAGCTTCCATTTACTTTTAATGCATTCCCTCTCAGCTCACAATGGGAAATAATGAGAAACAGTGCCTACTGTTATTTTTATTAAACTGAAGTTTGAATGGAACATATTGATTCAGATTGCACCATGCTTTTGTTCAGCATCATCAAAGCAAAACAATAGAACCCTTGTGTTTTAAAATGTGTTTTTTATAACTGCTTGCTGAAAATGAAGATCTTAGTGCAACCAACCAGTGCTCATAAAGTCTGCTGGAATAATCCATCCCCTTATTCTGGAGGAAGGAGAGCTCTGGAAGTACAGGTTGATCTAAATTAATTAAAGGGTCCCAACGTCAGGTGAATACAAGTCCATTCAAATCGATAGGGATGTTTGGATGCCACCTCCCAGCTATATTGAACATAGAGACTCAACTGTGGTGCCTTGTGTCACAGCAAAGTGCTTGGCAACCTACAGAGATCTGGACAGGGCAGGCCAGCATCCCCAATATACTCAATTAGAATGAGATCTTGGCGTCACTATCAAGTTGAAAAATAATTTTAATACTGATACCACTAATACTGCCACCACTACTATTAGCTCACTTGATAATAATAATCAGACCATACTATTACATAAACTGATAATAATAATCATGCAGAAATGCTTTACTTCTAGTGGAACTAATAGAAATAATGGTAATATTTGTGCATCCTACTCTTAATATCTGGAGCAACTGAGATGCTGTTTTAATACCTGCAATCATTAGTGTGTTACAGATCTGCCCATAGCCTTTCATACATTACCAGCAACTGGTAATGGAATGCATGGGCTGCAATTTCTGGTCCATAATCACAGTGCTAGCTGTATGATTGCTGTGAAATACCAGTGATTTCTACTGCATTAAGGGGGTAATTTTCACAACATGTTAGAGGCTGAATTGCCAGCAGGCACTTTTAGTGAGTTGTCTGTGTGTCTGTGATGGGGAGAGACTGGATAAAGGAGAAAATCAGAAGTGTGGGGGGGATTGTCCAGGTGACGGGGTGTCAAAGCCTTTGTATTGTAAGCTTCTGTAGGATTTCAAGGAAATGTGCAATTTACATGTGTTATACTCTGGCAGGAGGGGAGACTGAAGGTGGTAATAATGGAGACTCATGAGCGAATGCTCCCTCCTCATAAATTTACATTCGAATAACTGTTCCCCTGAATACCTAGATTCCCAGACCTACAACAGCTGCACGTCCTGTTTATTAGACAGAAGAAGGAAAATATATTTTTTGAGCGAATGAATGAAGCTAGACTGTGTTCTCCGGAGCTCGAGAAGCAATGAGATAAATGGAGTGCACATTTGTATTCATTGGGAGCACGTATAGTCCTCGAGTAAAAAGAATAACCCTTTCATGTCTTTTCATCCTCGTGAACCGGTCTGTCTAGAATTTTTCCTTTTTTTCTTTGCTTTTAATTCTCCGCTTTCTTAAATAAATGGAACATTTTCTTCTTTTCTTTTCTGGGGTATTTGAAGATACTTGAGTCAGTCTTCTGAGGGAACGGTCCTCACTGAACATAGAGCCCTTCTTAGACGTGCCGCTATGTCTGTCCTTGACAAAACAGGCCTTGAAAAGGAAAGAAAGGCTTTTTAGTAAAGGCTGCCTTGAGCTGACTGTGAACTTCAACATTTTAGATCCGTTGGGTGAGGTTGGGGGGAGTGACAGTGTTTATTAAACCCCTGTGACTCCGGGGTGAACTTAGGGACTATAAACTAGACACAGTTTGTGATTCTAAGCAAGTGGAAACTGTGTTTAAGAAGAGCCCTGTGAATTTCACACTGAGCTCCGACGAATTTCACGCTGAGCAGCTTAAAACATTATTGTTGTTTGGAACTGTATTTTGGCAAGTGTAAACATTATTGCATTGACTGTTCAAGGTTTCTATTGACCTGTGAAGGAAAATATCTCACTGTGCAGAAATCCTTCCTCGTCTACTGTACTACACAGTGAAGGCTAAAGAAATTCACTGTGTTCTTCTTAAACTGGCCTGTTCAAAAGGGCCGTGTCTGGGTCATGCCATTCATATCCTTATGTAGGTCTGTAAAACTGAAATAATGTTCAAACAACAGCCAAAGTCCAGAATTTGCACTGTATAACAATATAATTTTGCTTAAAAATGCATTCAGCCTCCAGGTACAATTTCCAGAACTCCTCAAATGTAAACAAACTGGCTAATGTACTGTACATTATGACTTGCATGAAAAGGCTAACATTTGCCTTTGTAATGAACCAACCAAGTTTTTCAACTTTTATTAAGTACTTTTTTATCTGTTTGTTGTAGGACGGAGTCTGTAGCTGAGAAGATGCTGACCAATTGGTTTGCCTTCTTGCTTCATAAATTCCTCAAGGTAATCTTGAACCTGAACTCTTCAGACTTTTGACCTTTCCTCTGTTCATGGGGCTCATTTTTGTTGACTTGTTTATTTGAAGTCTCTCTTCTCTTTCCAGTTGTTTCTATTGCTCTGGATTAGGGATTCCAAACAGTGTCAGTCCAGTCCTCATTACCTTTATTCAGTTAACATTTCTATCCAGGCTTGAAAAACTTTTATAGCTACTATACATTGACTCAGTACTGTATTTTTAAGAATAAATCAGGTATTTCCATTTGATCCAGTTAGATCTGTTAACTTAGCTCTTTCTGATGTATAATGTGTTTATTGTTTGTCCACTGTATTTGCAGTACACTTAATATTAGCAGAAGTGTTATCACATTTTAACGAGATCATGGTCAGCACAAGAATAGGAGATCTCCAAGGAAATCCAGATTCCTGCTTTTCTTTGTGGACCTTTACATGGTTCTTTTGTCTTTAGACCAGATTTTTCAAACCAACACTGTAGTACAGTAACCAGGGACACTGTGCCTTGGATAATGCTGTGTTGTTGATGGGATATTAGTTCAGAAACCTGATAACTTGGTCATTAAAGACCCCATGGTACTTTAGTATATACATGCCACCCAAAATCCACTGTGGGATAGTACAATTTAGCCCAATTAATTCTTGGCCAACAGCTGCTGCTGTTAAAATATCTAATAAATTATACTGTATAAAATTGAAAAGGTCGGAGCTCCTTTTGGCTGGAAGCTGTCATTTCAAAGCTATACGATGTCACAGAAAACTCTTTAATTGTCATCCTGGATAACATGCAACATACCAGGGAAAACCTAAAAAACACAAAATTAAGATTTTCATGTACAGTAAGTGTTGAAGCCTGCTTGGCTGTTCTGGAATAAAACAGCCTTCTCAGTTGCCATTTTGCATTACTGCAAGGAGGGAAGAAAGGAAAATGAGCTGTCAGTGCATTATGGGAGGACAGACATGCCTGGTGGTATAAGAGGGGTTAGACAGGTCGCAGTATCAGGATGTTGGCAGTCTGGTTCACCTGCCTGGGGAGTTCTAGTCACCACGGCAAATCTCTCCCTCTGCATTTGCCATCCTCACCCCTAACTTCCACGCTGCATGAAAATGGGGGTGGAGAGACTGGTTTGTACGTGACAGATTTTCCACAAGACATGGACAAGGCCTTCAAAATAGATGTCAAGGTGGTGTTCATTTGTAGAGTCGGAATCGATGAGATAGAGAGTAGGTAGACAAAGAAGCTACGCCCTCACAAACCTGAATTAGATTGTCAGTTTGTTGGCATGTACAGTACTTTGAGCTGAATGGTCTTGTATGTGTGAGTCTGCCTACGTGTATGTCTTTCTGTCTCTCTTTGCTCTTGGAGGCCCATTTGGGCAGAGGTATGACTAATTTCCTGGGTTTGCAGCCACAGAAGTGTGTGTGTTTCTGTGTCTGGTATGCTTGTTCCCCATCAGTACACTCAAAGGCTCTAGACCTCTCACCCCTCTTTCTCCTGTGTGTGTTTCTCCCAGGAGTGTGCCGGGGAGCCTCTCTTCATGCTGTACTGCGCCATCAAACAGCAGATGGAGAAAGGGCCGATCGACGCCATCACTGGAGAGGCCCGCTACTCTCTGAGTGAGGACAAGCTCATCCGCCAGCAGATTGAGTACAAGACCCTGGTCAGTGAGCAATCTTTAGGGGACTTATCTATTATTTCCATTTAACATTTTGCTTTTTTTTATTTGGAATCACTTTTTTTTCTTTCTGTAACCCATGTATTTCAGCATCTGCAATTTCAAATTGCCATCTGTCTGTGGCCTTGCAAGCACACAAAAAAGTGTAGTTTCTGCCATATAGGCTTTGAAAGACCTCCAAGAAGACAAACAAGAGTGATTCATGGTTAGAAGCAAACAGGTTAAGAGACCTAAGTCTTTTCAGTATAGAACAATGGGGATTTAAGAGGAGATTTGTATTTGCAAGAACCTTATATACAGTACATACTGAGTATGTATATACAAGATCCTAAAGGTTATAGATAGGGTCCATCCAGGTGATTGTTTCACACTCATTAATGAAAGGACAAGGGGTCACAATATAAAACTGAAATAGAATTAATTAAGAAGGAGAATAGAAAAGATTTCTTTATACAAAAAAAATGTGGGTATCCAGAGCAGGCTTCCTAGCTAAGTGATTTAGGCTTAAGCTTTTTTTGTTGGCAACTTTTCCTTTGTTCTTATGAATGAAACTGTTATCTCTGTAACCTGGAAATCCAGTTCATACTGTAAGTTTGCTATATTTCCCAGACTCAGCAATTGAAACTAATCACTTATGGGGTACATACTATGTATCAGGCATGAGTACAGCCTTATCATCCTCACAGCTCATTGATGCTATGTTTACACTGGACATTTTTAGGATGCTCGCTTAGGGGAGCGTGAATGCTACCAGCTGATCCTGATCCATCTTAAAAAAACATTTCCTGATTGTCTACATTATCCCTGTCTAATTCAGCTATCTGCATACGGAGGGGATAATGGTTCGCATTTTGTATTTCCTTCTCAATACTTTCATTTACATTTTGTTGTTAATTCAGATAGTTTCCATTAGTATAACACAATGCTAGTAGCACATTTAGGACTTAATATAACAGTTCACTGTAAATATGTATTTGGAGAGAAAATGTACAAACAGGCCAGTTATAGAATATCAGGTTCACCTGACATATATGAAAAACTTCTGAAAATATTTTACTTTCTCTGTCAAACATTATTGTATGTCACAGTTATATATGTTTTCTGAGCTGGAGTAACAGTAAGCAATTTTGAAAATAACTGAGTCTGTGCAGAATTTTTAATTTCCGTGTTGTCAGCTGTGTCCTCTGTGGGATGTGCACTAGATTTCTGTGTTTATTTAGTAGCAGTCATAGCACTATTTGTAAGAAGTTGGGGGGAGTTAACGAAAGCAAAAAATCATATAGTGGAAAAATGAAAACACTCTGATTGCGCTGACTGGGAATTTGGTCTATGGCTTGTTAATACCCTGCCAGAGCCTGAAATTGGTTTCCCACCGTATGTGTGAAATTAAATTTCTGAAGCCGGTGTGCAAGGAAATAGCCTTTCAGGGCTCCTGTGAAGATGGGTCCTAACTCCAATAAGAGGCACCTGTGGAGAGTGGCGCCAACATCAGGGCCGGGCCAGTGAGACAGGAAACTCCCCTCTGTGGGCTCAACCACTTCCTGTTCTCTGTTTCCCAGATACTGAACTGTGTGAACCCCGACAATGAAAACAGCCCCGAGATCCCAGTGAAGGTCCTGAACTGCGATACCATCACGCAGGTGAAGGAGAAGATCCTGGATGCTGTCTACAAGAACATGCCTTACTCACAGAGGCCCCGTGCTGTGGACATGGATCTCGGTAAGTGTGGACAGGCCAACAGACTGAGAGATTGACACACATGCATGTTGATATGCTTTTCGATTGATGCACTAAATGACCACCACACCAACATAGTGAAAATTTCTACTGACTGGCTTACATGCTAACAGAGAGAAGATGGGCCATCACCAACTGATGTAATGACCAACGTACTGCAGAAAAACACACAAACTAACATCCAGGCTAATTCACCAGCAAACTGATCTTGGAAGCACTGAAAATAGAAAGAGACAACAAATACAGGCACCATGTGGCACACTTCCATATTGACACTGAAAGACAATTGCAGTAACTGCAGAAAGCACATAGAGTCCTTAAATAAACTTGACTTTTAGTGTAGAAGCTCAACAAGGTAGTAGATTGACAGAAGGGCATGCAGGGTATTAACTTGACAGACACTTCATGCACTAAACAGACACACAATGGAGAGGCGGGTATTTGAAGTGCTACAGACTTGTGTAATAATCCAACATTCTCATTGTCTGCTTCAGAAAAGAAAGAAAAAAGGGACAGAAGGACGGGGGGAGGGAGGTGGTGGTGCTGGAAGAACCACTTTAATTTAAAAAAGTCAACTCTTTGTGCTCGTCCGGCCAGAGAAGAGCACTGGTGATTCTTGTCTGTAATTACTCTTTGGATACAGAATTCTTTTTAAAAAATCATTTCCACCCAGCCACATGCCCGGAGCAGAAATCAGAAAGTGTGGGGTTGTGTGATTAGCAATAACAGAAGGTAATAAAGCACAGAAGACACACAGGAGAAAATCAATGATTGCACTCAGCAGGATTGCCACCGGACCCACGCCATTTTTTTATTAAGACCATTTCACTATTTGATGAGTTGTCAGGTATTCTGCTGCCCAGCTGTTTTTTTTAATGGAATATGACTTTCTTTCAAGGTGATTTACACTGTTTCTTTACTCCTCCCAAACTCATCCTTCTGGCTTCGAAGACAATACATTTGAAAATGTTTTATACAGCAAAATCACATTAACAACAATTCACAGAAGGTGTTGTTTGAGAAAGCAGGACCTACCACATTTATACAGCTTAAAACAGGTAGCAAAATGTATTTAAAGAACTGCTCACACTAAATATGAGAATATTAGATGGCATATGGTAAAACACAGTACATCTATAAAGGAACAAATAGAATGTTAAAAATTGTGTGGAGCCGCTTTAGGTGTGTCACAGCAAATCTCTGACAATTGTAGTATAATTCTGCATATTTTCCAAATCTGTGAAAACAATTAAGTTCAGTTCCCTTTGTCCTATAACTTGTATTACAAATATAATGTAAGACATTTGAGATAGACAATTTAATACAGTTGCTTCTGCCTCTCTACCACATTTCAGGTGCTTTACAATAGTTTAACTACACACTTATTTTCACATTTGTACTGCACTTTGACTATGGTATTTTCAAGACAGCATGATAAATGTGGCTAAGGAATGTTTATAGTGCCACACCATATGCCCATAGGCCAATGCAGTAAAGCTTAGTGAAATCCACCAGCAGCTACAGAAAATTCGTGAGAAAGTATGAATTTCCTGTGGTGAACTTACCAAGGAAATTTGACATAAGATTTTTTTTTGCTTTGGAAACTAACAAAAGTACCGAGTTCTAGATCATCATGAAGTTTTCTTGTTCTATTGTAAAGAGTCTAAGGTGCATAAAAGAATCATACAGGTTTCAGGTTCTTATGTCTCAACTATGAACTCTAGTGGGTACAGAAAGTGAAGAATAAAAGAGTACGGACTCGTGGATTTTAACACGTCATGGACAACATCACCCAGTACAGAGGTTCATTACTGACTATGGTGAGGCGTGTATCTCACTGACCTCACTGCTTGCCTCCAATTGCGTGATAGGCCACAGAGATTGCTCAGGCTCTGGATGACAAGTCCCACCCCACTCTTTGCTCCTTTGCTCATTGTTGTGGAATTCTGCTTACAGTTAGCTATTGACAAGAGCCAAGCTCGAATCTGTGATCGTAGACATCAATCAAGGGAGTGCCTGCAGTGATTGAACCTCTTGGAAAGACCCAAACGTTTATACAGCTTTTCAAATTTTGTTCACGACAGTCTCTTGCAGAAGAGGTTTCCTCATAAACATTTTTTTTATTGAAAATAATACTAATGAGAAATGAAACAAGACTAATATGAAGTGTGAATAAATGAACAGCAGTTCATTTACTTAATGGTGTTTAAAAACTCTGTACCCTTTAAAATTCAGTAGTTCTTCAAAAAATGTGCAGGGAATGTAATTGCAGTCTAAATACAGGGCAGAATGAGTGTATACAAATAAATTAGATACTGTAGCTAACCCAAAATTCTTTATGAAAAACTATGTATTCATAATATGAACTATGCTTCATGCCTTACTTGGTAATGTGGTTTGTTCTGATTTAATATATACTTTGATTCATACTTTTTCTGTAGAGCTAACAAGTCCAGTTATTGAGGAGCTTCTACACCAAGCGTTTAATCCTACTTCCAGCTACACCATCCAACACCTCTCCACCACATTCATCTTCAGCATCTGTGGCTCTGTCTGTGTGAGTGTCTGATAGGCTGCTTTGTCCCTGGCAGAATGGCGTCAAGGCAGGATGGCGCGGGTGGTACTTCAGGATGAAGATATCACCACCAAGATCGAGAACGACTGGAAACGGCTCAACACCCTCATGCACTATCAGGTAAGGAGGAGTCACCCCCCCTCAATCTCATCTCACATCACTGGCGTCCTTCATATGAATGCTTTCATACTGCCCATTTTACAGGGGCAATTAACGCAGAGCCCCACCTGAGATTTTAATGCAGAAGTTTTCAATTATAAATCCAGAACCTTCACCACTACTCTGCTCTCAGAGAGTTTTGAATTAGTCTGTCAAGTATAAAACTTAAAATGGTAAAAATGTCTTTTAAAGCTATAGAAAAAAAGCTCTGTGTGTCTCCATGTATGCCATTCCTCACAACTGTCTTATATGCTGTGTGGTAGTTTACCTCTCTATCTATTATAATTGTCCTTTATTTCACTTTACTCCCATCTGAACACAGGTAAGATGTGTTTTTAGCTACAGTACGCTTGCATTTCATCCTGCTGGTTCAAAGTAATGCCTAAGACAGCCAGCAACAAAAAAAAAACAGAGGTTGAAAGTTTATTCACATTTCCACATCTCTAAGAGTTGAGACTCCGCAGTGATTCTGCGGTTTGCAAGCCGCATGAATTTTTAACCAGTCCAGGGTCGCCATCTCCCAGCTCTGGGTCGGGAGACTGGCTGAGCGAGGACTTGAGCCCTCGCTCTGAGCGTACCAGGAGGGCAGCCTGCCTTGCTAGCTGCGTGCAGAGAAAATGGGTGACAGACAGGCTTTTTAAAACTGAACTGCAGTGAATGAAAAGGAAATCAGCAGACAAGAGGGTAAACAGGAACAAGAACAGTGTCAGAATCGCCGCATCTTTAAGGAGGTTAATGACAAGTCTGTGGCATGTGAAGTAAGATACAAAAGAAAGAGGCAGAAAGTGGATTTGTGTGTGCTGCTCTCCTTGCTTTAATTTCCCAGACTAAGGTTTTCCTTGGGATTAATAATTTACCTCCAGTCATGTGCATTTAGGGTCATGTGGATGTGTATATTCCCTGTCCCGCCTAATGCCCACCTCTTCTCTCAAAAGAGAAAACAAGCAACACCCTGAAGAAACGCCAGTTTCAGCATCTTAGAATCTATCAGAAACATTTTTCCTAGATAACAAATTGTGTTCTTGTTTATCTGTGACAGTTTTTATTGTTGCTTCGAATGTTGTTGTTCTATGTGAAGCAGAGATAGCCAAAGGGGGAAGCTGGAGGGCATCCGCAATAAAGCAGTATTAATATACCCGCTGCACATCTAAAACGGATCTAAAATGCCCTGAATCTCAGTCGTGAGAATTTGCATGTGATGTTTTACACAAAAAAAAAGGGTTTCTTTTGTAACAATTGCAGAGGATGGCTCTGAGGGTTTAAAAAGTATGCATGAAACGATATGCAGACAACCGGGAGAAAGGCAATTTAAGCACTGAGGAGGTGAAAGAAAAATCTGAGGATTTCCTGCCTGTCAGCAGGATTAAGGAAGGGAGAAGTCTGTGCAGTTACAGCTGCTGCTATGACATTACTCGCCACTCTGCAGCGTTTGGCACAGCGCGGTGACAGACCGACTGGCAGCACACCTCATTAAACATCAGCCTGCTGACAATTTGCTCGATGAGTGAATTAAGTGAAGAAGCAGAAAGAAAGCAAAAAAAAAGGAGGAAGAATCGGCGTGTGAAATATGCAGAGTTAATAGCAAATGTTGAAAGGTATTCAGTGACTTTGCTAATTCTCAGATATTGCTTGATGCACAGGGTAAGCAGCATCCATTGCACATTAAAATTCATGATCTTCATGTTGGCTGGGTTCTGTAATCCAAAAACATCCTGTTTGCGTGTCTCCTCTTCATGTTAGTTATTAGTAGTAAATGGGTGAACGTGACATGTGAGATGAGATGGGTTATATGGAGATGATAAGTCATACCTTATCAAAATATGAGAATGTAACATGGATCAGTGTACCCCAAAGAATAAGTTTAAGCTCATCTGAGAAGATAATTGATTGAAGATTCACAAATACAAAATATTCACTCTCCTTTCAGAAAAAAAAAACAAAATTAAGATTGCGTCATACTCTCTAAGGATCAAGTCAGCTTAGCTATACAAGGATGTCTAATGAAATATTAAGAAGGGGGCAAATGCTGATTTTATCTTGCTAGGCATTTTGATCCTTAGACTAACCAGAGAACCTTACACCATTTGTCTCCTTTTTCCATTCTGTTTTTTCCATCTAGTTCTCTCTCCCTCCTTTTCCTCTCCAGAGGTGAAATCGTTAACCTTGTAGCTGGTGAATGGCATTATGTAAAAAGAGATCTGAAAGATCTCATGGGGCTTCTGCAGAACGGGGGCCTAAATTCAATGAATTTCCAATTTCAAGGTTTGAGTGGCATGAGATAGGCAAAGGAGATTAAAAATTTAAATAAAGAAACAGAGGATGGGAGGTGGGTTCAGACAGGGGGCTAAGAATAATAATTTGCGAGGCCCAGAGGAGATTCCTATAGCACTCAATAAACAACAGAAAACTTTGCAGTTTGTGTTAGATCTCATAATTGTGGCTCTGGATGTGTCTAGTGTCTCTCAGTGTTACACTGGTTGTGAACAGTGAGAGAATATGTTACAGTAAGTGTGTCATGGGACCGGGTAAAACACCTTAAAAAGGTACAAATGAGAAAAGGCCATTCTGCCCATCCTAAGATTAAAAAGATGAAGTATTTATTACAGATGTGTTTCTGTTAACTAAGACATTGATTTAGAAATGTTCAACTGCTTTGAGCAATACAAGAAGCTTAAGGATTTTTTAGCTACTGGTCACAGTGCAGTAATGGTCTGTCCTGATACCTGATACTGCAGGGTCTCAGGGTTTTCTGAATTTTGTTCCAACTGAGTTCTTAATGATTTTATTGGATCAATTACTTGCTTCATTGTCTAAAGCACCTGTTGGTCTTTAGATATAATGATACCCATTAAACCTGCAGGACTGAGGCTCTCTTGAGCTGCATTGAGTTAGACTTTCCATTGTAAGCCGCTTCACATTTTGGGAACAGGTAAAGTTTCATTCCATGCTGAAAAGTAAAGAAAGGAAACACAATATTTCAGCCATGGAACCTTCTTCAGATCTTTTTCAGGTCTTCAGGTTCCTTTGCAGGCTATGCAGGCTGATGCAGATCCCTGCTTAAACAGCTTCACATTCAGGCTGCCTGTAATATTAGCTATCCTATTCAAATCTGTGCATGATGGAGCATATGGACAGAAACAGAGTTTACAATCCTTAGATTATCTGAAGGTAACTACTTGCTAGTTATGGTAATCCCAGCCCAGGGCCTGTCCTGTCCTGCAATCATAGAGACGAGGCTGGACTTCACACTGACTATAATGCACACACATTAAAGTATGCAAAGACAACCTAGAGACACCAATTAAACCAGCCAGCATGTCTTTGGAGGTGAGAGGAAACCACCTGTAGAAGACACACGCAGACAAGGAGAGAACATGCAATCCAGACACCCTCTTGAGAGCTCTTAAGAACACTTTGCTCATAAGACTTGAACTTAGAGTTTTGAGGTACAGTAGCAGAGTTAATGTCCATGCCAATGTGCACATAACATGGGTCTGAACTATAACTCCATTGGTGTGTTTGATAGATCTCTGGAGAATGTTGTTGATATAAGAGGGAATATTTCCTATGGTGCTATTTATACAGTATATGTATGAAACACATTGTTGTTCCATGGTACAAAGTTTTCATTATGCTATTGTCTGAATAGACTAACTTTTTAAAAATCTAGAAAGTATCCTTTCTAAAGCATAGTATTTTTACAAAATTTGTTTATGTGTATTACTTACACACACAATTTCAGAAGCCAGGAAGAAATGATGTAATAGTGAATTATAGAAATAACATTTGATAAGTGTCTTAATAGTGTCACTAGCATTCAAGAACATTAGACAGTCTTTAGACCTCGTACATTTCTAGGCATAACTCTGAATAGGGAACACGGTTAACATCCCGGAAAACTGAGAGCAGTGTCACTGAAAGGGTTTTGTGAAGGGCGTTACAACATTTGTATTGTGCCACAAGAAATTGTATGGGCTTTCTGTGAAAGGCAGTTTCTTTTTGTGGTGATTTTGTATGCATTTAGGGGCAGATTTATGTTAGGTCACAGGAGTACATTTTTAAATGACTTAGCTTGCGATACAATTGACAAAGAAGTACAGGTCAAACTCGATGCAATTTGTACCATCTTAGTGACACAAAAAAGAAAAGGGAAAGGTACGAAATGCTGGCTTGTTGCTCAGAGAACAGTCGAGCTGAAAGGAAAAATAACTAGTACTTCTGACTGTAGTTAGCACCAATTATAGTACATGATTTGCTGTTAAATTGCAATAGGTAAACAAAAGAGAATGCTGTGTTCCATATGAGTGACCTATCCTGTCAAGTAGGAGTAGACCAGACCTTTTCCTCAGTATGGTGTTCAGTAGGCTTTGTACAGTATATGGCCTCAAAACTGGCATGGATTTTGGTTCACATGCCTCTAGTGCATTTCTGAAGACAACAGCACACCTGGCAAATGTGGCTAGAGGTTTACAGTGGCAGTGGCTCACATACAAAATTACCAACAGTAAGTAGAGATTACAGATAAGCCTCAGGATGCTATTGAACCAAAGAGCCAGATATCAGCCATAGTAGAACATGGCTGAGCCCACTTCTCCAGACAGCTGTTGCGATTACAACATGTAATGTCACAAAGCATAGCAGCTTTACCTGAAGATGCAGAGAGAGAAACCGACTATTAATGGTCAGTTATTCTCTAATATCTTGATAGGTAGTTCTGCTAAAAATACCATGTTATGTGAACTATACTTATTTAAGAGATTAAGTGATCCACTTCATATGACAAAGTATTTGACTTTGCTGTTGCACAGTCCTTGTGTTATGTGTTTCAGACAAATAGGAGGTACAGCTGCCACTCTATTCCAAATAACTCTGTAGCAGCGGCTGGTGATGTGTGATACACCCTCTACTACCCGAATGTTGGACTTAAATCAAGACAATCAGCCATGTCCATTGATATACAGTACACATCTGGGATGTTTTTAAAGAACTAAACAGTATCTGTTTTCAGTATATTTCAGGGTGTTTTAAAGATTTTTTTTTTTACAAGGCTGCATTTTTTGTAGAGCTCTCTGGAGCTGCCTGGCAGATTGTGCCCGCAGTTTCACACTCGGCAAGGGAATAAAAAAGTCCTTTACAAGCTAAGATGGCAGGAGGTGAAACCTAGAATTACTACATGAAATCTTACAGAAGATTGAGTCTCAGTTCTATCGAATATCAATTAAAAAGTTTGGCAGGAAAATAGGAAAAGGAGAAGAGTTGTGTTACGGAGAGTTTAGGTGCTTACTGGGATTGTTAGTGGTACTGTTTTTTTTGTTGGTTATATACACGACTTTGGATGAGACGAATTAGCAACATCTGCTGGACTGAATATCATTTTACTTCATTGGATAATTCTGCTTATATAAATTGAAGGTAAGATGAAATAGTCTCTATTAGACATATCAATGCCATCCAGACAGTGACCTTGAGTCTGAAACAGGAGGTACAAAGATTGGCAGAAGGTCAGGCTGTCATTTAAAGGGTGCATTATTATGATGTCTGATGAAACCAGAAACTTAAAGGCTTTCTGACTCATCTCACCACACCATGAATGTGCTAGGAAGGACAAATGCACCGATCGCGATTATTTAGCTTTTTTTTACAAAGAATACCCCCCCCCCTTGTGCAGAGTCCCTTTAAGCTATTATTTTTTAGAACAAAAAGTTAGGGAAAGAAGAAGCAGAACAACAGGCAGCTGTTGAGTGGGGAGCTAGGAGAAGGCCTGCTGTCTGGCTGTGCCACCATTTGCTCTCGCCACCCGTTCAGGAGGAAGATAGGCACGAGCCTGGGGAGGGGGGGGAGAAAAACACATGGATTTCCATTCTCTCCGAGAGCAGAGCGGAGTGGCAGCTTTTCAAAAAGGATTCTTCAAGCCCCTTTTGAAGTGCCTCCCCAGCCAGGCTATTACAACTCACACTCCTGAGGCAAGCCCGAGCTGCGCCCTTGATAATGGCTGGGAGAGATTATCAGGAAAGGTAAGCATTGCCCCCATGGGGCGGACTGAGAGAGGACGAGCAGTGGGGCGATATTATATCATACCGCAGGAGCTGCGGGAGTCAGGGTAAAGCATTATCAATCATTAGGGCGCATTAGGAGTGTCAAGGATTAAGAAGTAAGGAGATTAAAGACAGGTGTGGAATAAAGCAAATAAGATTTTTTTTTTTATGAGCCTGAACTCTCTGTTGGACCAAAGTGGGCTCCCTTTGCTCATGCCCACATGACATGCGTTACCCCCAGGTCCATGCATAAGAGTCAAACAGAGGAACTCAAGTGTAATTCCGTCAGTTGAACTGTGGCAAGATGGAAAAATACCATGGTCATTTTTGTTTTTTCCAGAGGAGTTCCAGATTTGCACACTCACACCCGTGCTGATAATGCCCCCTCAGAGAAGTAGGATTAGAATTTGCACATTTTGCCAGGCAGCTGTATTAATAAAGAAATATTTGAAGGGCTTTGTACCTCCTCAGCTGCCTTCTTTCCACTTGGAAAAATCAATTGCGCTATGAGGGTTTGAATGCAAACAGAGAAAAGAAATCCTTTGATAACATTAACGATACCTTTCGTGTGTCACTTTGGAAACCCCAGGACACGTGGTACTGTTCCTCATTGTCTGCAACAAAGGGGAGAGAGGTGGGTGGACAAGATGCTTGTTTTATGTGAAGGAGTTGGGGTATTTGGTCTCTTGGTGAGAAGAAGATCAATTAGGGAGGTCAGAAAACCCAGAAATTGTCAAGAATGGGTGAGTCTTATAGCTATAATTGTCCAAAAACTATTAGAAGTCTTTCTTTTGGCTTTCTTTGAGCACTAAGGGAAAACTAGACATCCCAATTAGTGTAGGGTCAATAACTCTGAGGACCCGGATGTCAATAACATATTTCTGCGTTCCTGAATCATTCTCCCTGTGAAGCTAATTCTTTGTGAATACTGTTCAAACAGTACAGCATATGATATTAGTCCTCAATGGGGTATGTGTATTTTGCCACACGGATGCTGACAGAAATCATTTTAATTCTCATTCTCGTGATTGTTGTTATGGTGCCCCACCATATTGCAATGAGCAACTCCAATCTAAATATTTAGCATTTAAATTTAATATACAAGTATACAAGAATTAGTGCAAAAGTAAGAACATTCCCAAAGATGTCTGAAGTTTGAGATCAATACTATGGGAAAGGAAGTACAGTTGAGAAACTGGGCAGTTCTGCTGTTTTTGTAGCAGTTCCGTTTTGCATTCCTCATCTCCAGTATTATTACAGCTGAGTGTCTGCATTTCAGATAAGTTTCTTTTGCTTCAAGGGCAAAGCTGCTAAAGCTCTGAGAGCACTGTTGGCAGTGGGATGTAAAGATAAAATATTGCCTTGTCGCACTTTACACGCTGCCATTAAAACAGCCAGAACTAGGCCTAATTAAGAATGAAATTAATTTGCAATCAGCTCAAGTTTTAATAAAACATAGACTTCAGTAAAAGATTCAGCTTTATTGCTACAGTATATCCTGTTATGATCTGGGAACACAAAGTTAATAAAAAAATTCTAGAGTTAAAACGGTGTAAAGTTAAGTGCATGTTAGTCTGCCAACAGCTCACTTTGCAAGCTGTTTAGTCTTATGTTGTAATTGAAGGGTGAGTCCAAGTGTATTTTAAAGGTAAGCAAACCCTGTTAAGTTCATCACAAATGCAAAATACTGTATTGACCCTAAAACAAGACCAGGTGTATTTAAAAAAAATAAATTTTGGTAGACTGAGGTAAAAATACAGCTTGCTTTGTATGGGCTGATTACACTTCAAGTCACAGATAGAGAAAAGTAACCCTTTGGTCTAGTGAGTGTTTGCTGATCCAAAGAGCTGGACCTTTAAAGCTAGTTTCTTTAGGTGGAAAAGTATGTGGTATTTATTTACAAAGGTGAGGTTTATTATTTACAAACCATCCATCCCTAAAGTACCAACTGCATTTCTCTTCCTCTTTTATGATAAACAGTATATCACCTCTCACTTAACTTGCAACCCATTTTGTTGAAGTATTGCTTGCAAAGGCAAACTAGGGAGCAGTGGTGAGGTGCTTTGAAATGTTGCCTCAACGGGTCATTAGTAAGAGTGCTGTAAATAAACCTCTGTTCAGGCTAGCTATACCCCACTAGACATGCTTCAATAGGAACATAATAGAACAGAAGGCATTTCTTTACCCGAAGTGTTCTGGGACGAGATGCTAGGATCAATAAGCTGCTACCAAATAGGCCAGATGGGCTTAATGGCCTCCTCTCATTTGTTATTTTTCTAATGTTCTTAAAGAGATCACTTTCAGTCTGGAGCTCAGTCTGAAGGCTGGGTTTAAAAGTTGTTGCTGTCTGATGTCTGGTCTTGGCATGTTTTCATGCATCCTTTGCAGCAGCTAGATGCAGACTGAAGACAAGGTCTGGGTAGGATCAGTCTGTTTCTTTGCGTGTAAAAGAGAGTGCTACAGTAAGTACTATTGAAAAGGTAGTGGAAGTCTGGAAGCTACCTCGTCATGTTGTTGAAGCTGATTCTCTGAATCGCCCAGTAATAGCTAGAAGAGATTCTCAGACCTGTCATCTTCCAGCGGTTAATCAAGCTACATGAGCTGAGTACCCTCCTCACCTTTACAACCTTTATTACGTTCCTGTGTCTTAAGGGTTGAGAGTGAAAGGCGGTGGTGGTGGAGGAGGAACAACAGTCAATGTTAACCGTAGAAATTCCAGCACGCAGTGACTGCCTGGCTACCTGGGAGACGTCACAGGATGTGGCTGACAGAAGACAGAACAGTTTAACCTTTGTCTCACTTTCTACTCCAGGTGTCGGACCGCTGCGTGGTGGCACTGGTCCCCAAACAGACATCATCTTACAACATCCCCCCCTCAGCAAGCATATCCCGGACCTCCATCAGCCGATACGGTGAGTTAGCTCTCAAAGTGCCTTCCCAGACCGCTCTCATTGCTCTAACATTTCCTTGTAGCTGATGAAGACCCCTTCATTAAAGAATGCTTTACCCACTCTGATACATTTAGATGGAGATTGTTGCTGTTTCTGGTCATGCATGCTTGTGGCAGTCATCTGTGTTTTGTGTATATGGATCAAGACCTACTCACTTCACATGTATATGTTTATGCACATAGAATGTCTGGGAATGTTTCTCGTTCTTATTTTCTTTTCTGGTACCAGACTGTTTCTCTTAGTGGGATTCCATTTGTGATTAGCACTGATTTCAGCCTGCAGGACTAGAGGGAGATTGACAAGGCTGGGAATGCTTTTTATTTTATTTTAAAGAATAATAATGATTATTCATACAGAATGCTCAGAGCCAGGATGTAATCCTCTAATACACACACTGAACACATTACTGTATTCCCCAGGCTCTACTTAGTTAACATTGTACAGGGCTCACATCTGGTCCACTAGTGGTCCAAGTAATAAAACACGCCGCGCTGAAGGCAACTCTGATTACAAATTATTCAGCGTGAATTATACTTCATAGAAATGAAAACTGAAAACTGAGCAAAGCCAATTACAAAGTCTGAAATTGGATGACAACAGGGCTTCAAACTCTGCCATCAACAGATGAGTGGGGCAAGAGATGGCACGCGCCTACCTCTGCTTTACAGCAGCCTGTCTCAAGTGTTAAAATGCCCAAAATAAACCAAGGTAAATTATTATGCAAAATACAAAATGCATCTTTGTCTAACAAAAAAGGACTGCTGGTCTTATCACCAGAACAACTCAAGTGGGTCTGTGCTGGAGCAAGCTTCCTATTTGTTCCCAGCTCTGCTGACATTCGCACATACCTTTGGCAAATATTGAGACAATACTCTAGGTCTGGGTGAGAAATTATTCTCATTCACGAAAGTATAACACCGTTGAATGTATATATATGTGTGTGTGTGTAGGAAGTAAACACATATGTGTGTTTTTGTGAAAAGGAAAAAACTTTGGGTGTGAAGAATTCACACTACAGTATATAAGTTTCAATGGTTAAAAGGCTCTTATACTGAGTGGAGCCCTAAAAATATGAATTCTGTTTTTATGTAGTTTATTATATTACAGTACTGCTGTGGTGGTGAAACCCAGAATTCAGTTGGATTAGACAAGAGGCACAGTCTGCTTTTGCAAAAAGTCCTTGTGATCATCTTATTTTGATAAATTGATTAATTGATATAAATTCAGTGTAGTACTCCATAGCCTTGTTATTCCCGGGCACACAGGAGAACTCATGCTTGGCATGTCTGAAATAAAAGCATCAGAATTAGATTTAATACAAAAAAAGACATCAAAGGTTCAGCCGGTTTACTGCCAAATGGGTATGTTAGTGATAGGAGCTAAGATGATTGGAGCCACTTGGTAGCTTACCTAGGATTTGAGCCCAGTAACTTCCCTAACTCCTTTTCTCTGGAGCATACACACTAAACCTCTAACCTATCTACTTTGAAAATTTTACCTAAAGCTCTAATTTGGTGCCACTTTCTGACTTTGTGTTCCTTGCTCCCCTTTGAAGCCAGGTGAGATTGCATCTCAGTGATCCACACTCCCTTTGAGCTGTTAGGGTACAGAGAAAAATACTAATTGGATCACTATGAAGAGGAGTTCTGTTCTCTTTGGCATTATAAGTGATTTAAACGTTCAAGGAATAATAAAAAAAAGAAATTAACTTATCACAGACCTTTTGATGTATTGATTGGGTTTGTGACAGGAACACTTTATGTCTCAGGCACACAGTAGTAGAGGAAAAAGACATTTATTAATCCAGTAAAAAAATGAGAGAATGCACGAACGTCACTGCTCCTTTTGTATGAGGGATGATATGAATTCTTAAAAGCCAAAAGATCCTGGCAGCTGCAGAATTTTGCTTAATGAAATATTAGAAAACTGCATCAGTCGCTTTCATCTCTCTCTCTCAAAAAGTACTCGGGCACCATGCCACATGTGTCAAGCTGACGACAAAAACCTATTGGACTTTTTCGTTTTTTTCCTTTCCTAATATCAAATTATTGAGTTCTGAAATTTCCCTATGTAGTGGAACTAATTTAGAATCATTCCATTTGCAACAGGGCACGGAGCAGAAAAAGGGCAGAAATTTTAGCTTTATAATGAGCTTCTGAAAAATTAGCCTAATCACTAAGCGCCCCGTGTCTGTGCTTAGTGATAGGCTGTCCCTCTAACTGCTCTGTTGGAGCTGCCTGGGGCACTGCCAACAGTCTCTTGTCTCAGGAGTGGGTTACATCTGGCTGGTTCTCTGTCTTGGATAAAAGCAAGGTCAGAAAAGCAGTACCTTCTAGGGGAAGGCATGCTAAAAGGCTCAACTAGGTGTCCAGAGTGTCCCCAGCTTTAATTACTAGGTACAGTAGCACCCAATGGATAGCTTTCATCCTTCAACACAAAAGGCCTTAATGTGGGAATTATTAAATAGGAACACTATCCTTTTGACAGCTGCTTTAAAGCATCGGCTTTACAGCATAAAGTATATGGCTTTTCATTTGTGAACATTATCCCCCTTTTTATTCTGGAAGCACACAAAGACGAATTCGGGTTTTGAAATACAAACTGCCCTCTAAAGGCCTGCGTGATTGTGTAGACCTCCATCCACAGCACTGAGTCAGTCAGTGCCCCTGGCCTGCTGTCTGACTGGCTGTTGCACTGCGTGTCTCCCGCCTCCCAGACTCCACCTTCCGGTACACGGGCAGCCCTGACAGCCTGCGCTCCCGAGCCCCCATGATCACCCCCGACCTGGAGAGCGGGGTGAAGGTGTGGCACCTGGTGAAGAATCATGAGCACGGGGACCAGAAAGAGGGCGACCGGGGCAGTAAGATGGTCTCTGAGATCTACCTGACACGCCTGCTCGCCACCAAGGTACCAGAGCATAACAGACACCTCCCATATCAATACACATTCCTCCCACGTGACAGAGAAACAATCCTCTCTTTGCTTGTTCGCAATACAATTCTTATGAGCATAGGGATTTGATTTTCAGATTTCAACATACTGTATATACTGTATTTGACCAATATTTTAAAATGTAATCATCATGCAGAGCATGATTCTTGCACTTTTAATGGCAGCAGAAAGTGAACTAAATGATTCTTTTGAGTTATATTAATCACCTTTATGTGTGTGGGATTGAGCAGTCCCTTCTGGCAGTGGGAGCAGTGGGGGACTGGTGCACAGAGGGGAGAGAGAGGGTGAGGAATAGGTTGATCACAGCTTCGGCTTCTCACTGTGAAGCTCCTAACCTCACAGTAGGGACTGTGCTCCCAGTAGTGGCATCCCTCCGTCAATTCCCCTGAGCACTGCAGGTTTCCCCATCAGCCTCCAATTCTTCATGGGGAAAGACAGCAGACTTGGAGCAGCACAGTCACAGTGGCATTAATCTGTATCCAGGAATCACTAGTTGTTCCCGTTTCACTGCTGTGGCATAGTACGGGCCTATTCATTTTAAATCCTCCTTCATTGCTCTCGGTAGTACGCTTGATTGACATTGCCTGTATAATCCTCTGTCTATTTTTAGACGCAGGGCTTGCGCTTGACAGGCATAGCTGCTGTTGCTTGCTGTGTTCTCACAGACAGCCCCGCTGATGTGTGTGGTCTCTTTTCCCAGGGCACGCTGCAGAAGTTTGTGGACGATCTGTTTGAGACGCTGTTCAGCACAGTGCACCGAGGCAGTGCCCTTCCCCTTGCCATCAAATATATGTTCGACTTCCTGGATGAGCAGGCAGACAAGCACAGCATTCATGACACAGACGTCAGGCACACATGGAAGAGTAACTGGTAAGTGCAGGAAAAAACACAGCATATCTAGAAACAGAATACTACAAGGGTTAGTCTGGCAGTTTTGAAATGTTAACTGTAGACATGGGATCACATTTTATTTATTAGGTAGATAGGTATGAGGTGAGGGGGGTCTGTGTTTATCTGTGTTTTGCACACATGGTTTGTGCAATTTCTGTTGGTATTCTTCTTTTTTAGAGTTACATTGTTTATCATTTATTGACAAAATAAAGGTACTTTGATATCTGTACGCCTGTTAAGCTATCCTGAGGGGATACTCACCTATCTGCTGTTTCAGGCTTGTTTCTTACACTCCTGTATGATAATTCATGTGGTAGGACATGAAAGACCTGAACTAAACAACCTAGGCCAAGATTGATTCAGTGGTATGAGTGTGTTCAAAAACAGAAAAGCCATCTTCACTCCCTCTGCCTCTGTGCATCTGTCCTCACAGCCTACCCCTGAGGTTCTGGGTGAATGTGATCAAGAACCCGCAGTTTGTCTTCGACATCCACAAGAGCAGCATCACGGACGCCTGCCTCTCAGTCGTGGCACAGACCTTCATGGACTCCTGTTCCACGTCAGAGCACCGGCTGGGCAAAGACTCCCCTTCCAATAAGCTACTCTACGCCAAGGACATCCCCAACTACAAAAGCTGGGTGGAAAGGTAAACCTTTTCTGGCTGTTGCTATTACCTCTGTCCTCCTTTACTGACTCACCTCCTCTACCAGCAGAAGAACAGATTACTTCGGCACATAATTTACTTCCTAGACAGTGCAGAGAAGCGACACAGATTACCAACAACATTGTTACTAATATGGCTGAACTTTTATAGAATGTTTGCATCCATTTTCACAGGAGCAATCTGGACAAGGTACCTTTTCAAGGGTACAATAGCAGTGCCCTTCACAGAAAGTGAAGTCACAGCCTTCCAAGACTCCAAACAAGGCTCCAAACTGCTGCCCACAAACAGTTGAATATACTGTATGATTAAAAGTGCTGAATTTAAACCAAGGGATGATGTGTTCAAATTAAACATTGCGGAAATGTGTCTGTGCCTCCTAAGTCTCCTTGTCAGCACAGACAGCAGGGTGTTAGGGAAGCAATTGGCGATTCCTGATTCAGTGGGTTAACTGGAAGCAATTCTTGATTCTATTATATATATATTATATAGCACTAATATAATATATAGTTCAGCGCAGGCCACTGATTATCTGCAAACACAGTGCTTTAGTGCTGTTATTTTTGTTTCAGTTTGCATGGGGAATGGATGAACATCACTCATACTCATAACTCATAACTTTCCTCTCTTGTTCTCTGCTTTGTGTTTCCCCCTCAGGTACTATGCCGATATAAGCCGGCTCCCTGCCATCAGTGATCAGGACATGAACGCCTACCTGGCCGAGCAAGCACGCCTGCACTCCAACGAGTTCAACATGCTAAGTGCACTCAACGAAATCTACTCCTACGTCAGCAAATACAGCGAAGAGGTAGGGTCAGCCCAGCAGCAGCAAAAGATTTGATATCTGAGTGCATAGTCCTGCTGTATGGAAATAAACAGCCTTATCACAGAGAGAACATAGAGAGTAAAAAGCAAAACACCAAGCACAAAGTTAGCTGACACAAGGATGATATTCCTGCAAAATATCAAGATTTATTCCATGGGCAAGGAAGTGTTGCAAGAACAAAGGGTATTTCTTTGGTGGGAGAGTTCTAGGGATCTTGGTGATTAGTGATTCAGCTAATTATAATCCAAATGATTTTAATGGGACGGCTGTTTGTAGGAAATGGAAGGTACAGATTTACTGAAATGTAAGTGTTGGGCCCAAGTCATCAAGGGCCTTACGTGTACTGTAATTGTGTCAATGCAAACTGCTTTGTAAAAGATGTGCATTATAAGGGAGATTCACACAAATGACTGGATAATCATGAAAAGATATGGAGAAACCCATCTAGATCAACAGGCAGTTTAAGACTTTTAATGGTAGTGTTCTGCATGCAATGCAGTGTTGCTTCCCAGGTCTTTGCTATTAAATTAAATTGGACCAAATAAAAGAAAAGCCAAGAGCAACCTTTTACGAGAACTGAAGGCCATCCTTGGCCAGACCATGCCAGCCATGATGACACAGTTTCAGTTTCCTCTCATTTGTTACCTTTCTTATGTTCTTAAACAGATCACTTTCAGTCTGGAGCTCAGTCTCAAGGCTGGGTTTAAAGGTTTTTGCTGTCTGATGCCTGGTCTTGGCATGTTATCATGCATCCTTTGCAGCAGCTAGATGCAGACTAAAGACAGTCTGTTTCTTTGCGTGTAAAAGAGAGTGCTACAGTAAGTACTATTGGAAAGGTTGTGGAAGTCTGGAAGCTACCTGGTCATGTTGTTGAAGCTGATTCTCTGAATCGCCCAGTAATAGCTATAAGAGATTCTCAGACCTTTCATCTTCCAGTGGTTAATCAAGCTGCATGAGCTGAGTATCCTCCTCTACTTTTCAACCTTTCTTACATTCCTGTGTCGTTCCGGGGTGCACTGGAATGACAGTCTTTATTCTCCTCTGCTCCCTTTTACTTTGCAGGCTGCTCAATGCAGTCAGCACCAAAGCAGTTAAACCCGTGCCTCACCTCTTTCCATTCTGCATGTTCCCTCTCAGCCCTTCGCAGAGGGCACACTGCTTGTTGACTCAAATATAGGAAACGCGCTTAAACGGATTTTGGAAATGGCACGAAGTCCTGTGTCTGCATAGGCTGAGGAGATTAATAATAGATAGAGCGCAAACGATAAAAACGGGGGGCTTGGCTGCAGCCAGTAGCTAAGAGCACTTTAGCAGATGAAAGGGAAGAGAACTGCAAATGACATTCTGGGAAATACAGCCTGACTCCCACACATCCCCTCATACATCCTCCGATACGTCTTTGGCAGAAGCGCTGCGCAGAAGGCACACAAAACACAGTGTCGCTTACTGGTATTGTGAGACCCTGCAGAATAATGGGTGCTGAACGTGTTTAAATGTGAATCAAAGATAATCTCTTATGGGGAGGTTTGTGCTCCACAGCAGAATTTGCTCTTAACTTAAAAGACAAATAATTAAGTAATTATGAGAGAACAGAGATACCAATTAAGAAGGAGACTAAATAAGTGTTACAAAGACTAACATTATAGTTTTTTATTTAAACATAATTTGGGGTTTTTATAATGAATACTGTTTTGACACAGTTTTGCTCCAGAGTTTATTTTTATCTTTAAAATGGAGTTGGATTTTTTTTCCGGCCTCCTTCTCCCGACTTTCTGGTTCATCTTTCTAGTGTTTGGGCGAATGTGGCATTAAAAACATATATATGAATAAATGATTTCCACTTGTGACTCAAATGTTGATAATTAATACTCACTTTCAGTCGCAAGCATCTGTGAAGGAGAAATTCTTGTGAAGTAGAAAAGCAAAACATCTGTTCTTCGAAGACATCAGCTGTTCTTGCGAAGCACCATATCAGTCAGTCAAACTGTAGATTAATTAACTTTCAAGATTAAGTGACAATTATTATTATTCCTCATGAAGATGTCTCATACAGGTTACAATTACCAAACTGCTGTGCAAAAATACTACACAATTTGCAAATTGTTCTACTCTTTTCACTTAATGTTTTTCTTTCTGTACACAAAAATACAGTTCTCTGGTGATCCTTTGCTGAATATTGCCTAATTAGATCTGTATTTTTAGTACAGTATGAAGCCTATTATTTTTATGGATGTGTGAGTGAATGGGTAAGCATGGGTACCCCACACTCCAAATTCTCATCTCTAAATTGCCCATAGTATGCATATGTGGGTCAATGGGTAAACATGTGTGCCCTTAGATAGACTGGCATCCATCCACTTTGTAGTACCACCTTGCTCCCTATGCCTGATGGGATAGGCTCTGACAGATGCAGCACATGGATGAATGGGACCCCATTCTGTTCCTTTACTCCAGTGATGCCAAGTCATTTTCCACACCATCGCCATTTAAATCTCCTCACCCTGCCAGTGACGGTCACCGTTAGCACTATAGCCTTGTTGTTGCCTTTTCTCTCACTTGTCGTTTTGAGCATCTATCTTTTCAGGCTTTATCGTATTCATCTGTTGTAAAATGAAAACCGCCAATGCCGGACAGTTATTCGGGAGCCGAAAAGCAAACAGTGAGAATGTGGTGTGTATTGTTATTGTTGTTTCCAACCGTCAAACGTTGCTCACCTAGCCCTTTGTTTTTCCTTTGCCCAGATCACAGCCGCACTGGAGCAGGATGAACAAGCCCGGAAGCAGCGACTGGCCTTTAAGGTGGAGCAGCTGATAGGTGCCATGTCTCTGGAGAGCTGAGACCGAAAGACACCAGGCTCTCCCCCCACCGATCAGAACTGCTGAAGTCATGGGACACGCTGCTGGGAGGAACTGCACAGAAAAGAAAAGTGTGCTGTTTATTTGGTTTGTCAGTTTGAATTTTTAATTTATTTTGAAATTACTAATAAAATAAGAAAGTAAAATGCCAATCCACACTGCTCCAGGATTCCCACGGGCCATGGATGTTGTGGCCGGAGATATGAGGATAAGAGTGGAGAATTCAGGAGGTGTCATGACTTCCCATCTTCTCTGGATTGCTTGCGTTGTATTGACAGTTGTCCCATGGCAGACCTGGGATAAGCAGTGTGCTGCAGCCATGATGGGACTCTGTTGTGTGGAGAGAGGATCTGCAGGCACTTAGAAGAGGAGTGGAGTCCCAGGAAACTGGAGGCACAAAGGAGAGGAATTCCACCCTCTGCTTGTTTTGCATGGAAGCCCAGAGTTGTATATGCTGAAGCTGGATGTGCTCTTGAATCATCCTTTATTTTTTTATGTGTTTGTTACATTTTGGTTTCACTTTTGGACAAGGACAGCTTTTCTATTTTTTTAAGTCCTCATCATGTGGTTTATTGTGAGTTTCTTTTATTATTAAAGGAAAGTAAGGACTGGTACTTCTCCTGTTTTGCTCCGAAGGACACGACGTCTTGTGAGCTGCTACCACAAGTTTGCACTTAAAAAAACAACAAACTCCAAACTTCTCCTTGAGGGAGGAGAAAATCCAAAACCAGAGCTGTAGAAACAAAACATTAAACATGTTCGTAGACAGGTGGAGGTGATGCCTTCTTTTCTCTACGCACACACACACAAGCTCCTCACAGACAGTGTTTGTACAGACGCTCTGCTCCAGGGCTGTCCTGGGTGCTCATGGGTAAAGCTGGAACACCAGGGACCTTCTGGTTTTACAGACTCCTTAAAAAATGACTTGTCTCTTCAGAAGTGCGACTTCCAACATTTTCCTGTTTGTCTTTTCTTTTTTATTATTATTGTGGGTGTGAGTATGTATATAGATATACATATAAATATATATAAAAGTTTCTACTTTATTTTTTCCTTCGCAGAGCTCTTGAAGGAGCTCAGTAGTCCAGTGGGCTTCAAAGTTTCACTTTCTGCAGGGTGGGTGCTGCAGTCATGAGACCCACATTTGTGATTTGGTTTTCAGATAAAGTTGTTCAATTTGTTTAATTTCTGAGCTCTTTCCATCATTCCCCACTTTGCATTACCAAAATATAGCTTAATGGTTCTGGAGCTAATTGATGTCACATGCCTCAGATGACATCACTGTCTCTTGTTGTTTGGGGAACACAATGTGTTTCTCAGTCACTTTCCTTTAATGTAAACCGTCATCCTCCCAGTCGAGACTAACTGAGAACACTACAGTAAAGTGACTGCTTAACACATAGGGGAACTCCTCAAATCATAGACCAGATTTGGTATGGTACTGTGTGTGATAACGTTTTCTAAATCACTGAAGAAAAAGCAAAGACATTTCCAAAGATCCAGGCTCTTACATTTTACCCCTAATGTCAACAGATACCACAGATCAGGTGATAGTCATTCTAAGACACAACGTGATATAATAGTTTGGTCCTACTTGATCCAACCTAAACCATTGATTGATGTCCTACAGTATCCTGGTTCTGAATGCCTGTTCTGTCTGCAAGTTTTTGGTTCAAGCTCAGTTTATAAATGCCCGGTTTCTCTCATGAACAGGCTTCATAATGAAATTTCAGAGGGAAAAATATTCTCACCCCCAGCAATCACCTGCACTAGGGTACGAATGTAGGACTTCAGTCTACCTACCTGATTTTCCTAGCTCAAATGCTCCTGATCTGCGGCACCACAACCAATGAGGAAACTCTTTCACTTGCAGAATTCTGACAGCCTTGTCTATATCGCCAGGTTACCCTTGTCTTTTAAGGACAGATCAGGTGCTTAAATTTTCACACATCTAACTCAGATGAAGCATATGTTGGGGTTTGTCTGTATTTACTGGTTTGGTTTAACTAAACACCGTTTCTCAGTTGTAATAAAGTTGGTGGTTTAAAAAAGTCCTTTCAAATGCAATAGACTGTGTATGGTGAGGACAAGGACTAGTCGTGCCATGACCTAATCTATATACTGTACATATATTAGCAATGGACCTACATAGACTTCTGAGGTTTTGAGTTAGTGCCAAAAAAACAGTTTATAAACTATGTAAAAAAATGGTTAATGCTTTTTGGATATGGACCAAACTCCTCACAGCCTGACCAGGATGTAACTGCGTAGCGCTCATGTGACAGGATGATTCCACAGCAGAAAGAACTGCCTTTTTGTCTCTGTGTCCCCTCTGTGCCTTGACTATTCACAGGTTTTTCAAGGAAGAAAAGAAAAATGGAAAGAAATGTCTAAATGCCAGAGTTCAAGAACACAGAGCTGCCTTGAGTTTTTGTAAAAACTGGGAGGTTTTCTTACAAGAATTGTTTTGTAGGTGGGCCATGAAGGCCCAGGCTCCAAATAATATTCCCTTAGAGTCTAAATGTTTTCCACGGCCACCACTGTTTTGCACATAGACGCTCGATTTCACCTGGCAGACACTGTGGAGACAGTCCTGTCACCAGGTCAGACAGTATGGAGTAGGAGATAACACTGCCATTCACTTGCACTGTGTCTCTCTGTAGGCCTCTCCGCATGACAGTGTACACGTGCAAAAGTGTTTTTCAGAGCAAGTGTGACTGTAAAGGGTTACTGTACATTTGCATGGAATTGTTTTCAGTTCCCCCCCCCCCTTCTTTTTGCAAAGTTACATTGGACATAAACCTTTCTAAGCAGAGTATTTGACTCTGGTACCCCCAATGAACTGAGGGCAGAGCTCGGTCTACAGAGTCACGTGTCACGCAAATTCTCAGTAATATGAAAGCTAGAATGAGACCGGAGTTGTGTTCCTGTCAGAGAACTAGATTAAAGAGATATTTCAGTCTTGCCGGATGACTTCCAAACTTCATTTTTACTGCCCCAAATGTTAAACTCCTGAGTGTAATGAAAGGCTCCTAGTGGCAGACCATTTTGGTCAACCTGAGGAGCTTTGGATTCCACCGCCTTCTCCAGCCAGAACAATCCCCAGATGTCCATCCTCTTGAAGACTAGTGGGGCTGGTGCCGTTCCACCCCACACACCTTTACCTTCGCCACAACCTCGTCTGAAGGCGCTCCTGCTTGAAAGTATGGGTTGCCACATTTCTACACCTTGTGGAAATTCATACCCCGTGCTGTTCCAGCTTCCTGCAGAGACAGAATGTGATTTCGAATCTTTCAGCCAGTGAGCGCAGCAGAGAGTTTACAATAAAGAAATTCTTTTAATAAGCTGGATTTGTGCTATTTATTGAAGTTTTCTTTATGATGCTAGCGTTACTGTAGAAGAAGATTAAAGGTAAGAGGTGCTTTCCATTCCTCTGAGTTTATGGACACTTTGACCCACTACTGGGCATCTGACAGCAGTGGTGACATATGCGTATCTGTCTTCTCATGGTGTCTTCATGGAGGGCAAAGGCAAACCAAGGGAGATAGCATTAGAAATGTTGCCTTCATCTCTGGTTTGTTAAGTATGACATTTTCCCTTCTTTCTTCTTTTTTTTTTCCCTGGAAGTCCATTTTAAAATGTATTTGATTAAGCAGAAAAAGAAAGAAAATAAAAAAAGGTGAAGTAGATACAGACTTGTACTGTACCTTCAGGCTCTTGCGCTCCCTGGCTTGTCAGTTGTGTTTGAAGAGTATTTCAAAAAAAAAAAAGACCCTTTAGCTTTGGTTTCCTGCTCTGGCTTTGAAGCGGGACTTTGATCTTGCAAGTCGTGTGTGTTGTGTGATCAGGAGATAAAAAAACGACATCAAAAAAAGAAAGTCATGAGACACGGAGCACGGAACTTGACATGTGATTAGTCTCTACACCTGCAGGGGCTGCAGCAGGACTAACTCCCTAGTTGTCGGGCTCAGCAGAGCTCCTCCTAATACCCACTGATCCCTATCAGTCCAAGAAACTGGGCATGCTGCTGCCACACTGATCTGGACAAAGCTCCAGGGAAAGTTGAAAGCTTCTTCCTCTTTTTTCTTGTTGTTCCTCCCTTCCCTCTTCCTCACTCCCATCTCTATCTCTGAGGGTCGGGCAGAAGTCACTGCATTGTCTCAGTCAGCGATGGGCCACTCTCACCGAAGGAAGAAACTTCCTTAGTGATCTCTGGTATTCATTGTTCTATCCGGATAACGCGAAACCCTTCAGAATTCAGAATCATGAGATCTGGCTGGGTTTCCTCCTGGTTTTTAAAAAAAAATATTTTGTGTCATTTGTGAAAATGAGGATGTGAGCATTGTAGCAGTGTTTCCCGGGCTTTTAAATCACTGGTGACGACCTTGAGGAAGTGGATAGTGCTGTTTACTCCTCATTGTTGAAACAATGGGGACTGACCATTCTGGAGCCAAGTAAATGTGTTGATGGAGGTACATTTAACTCTTTAACAGGTAAAATACTAGCGAGGTCAAATTTTACCCTGTATATTCAAGGAATGTGTATGGTACTTCGGGATGATTCAGGTCACTAGTGGTTATTTTAGGTTTATGAACAAGGAAATGGTTACAAACAAAGAGGAGGACATTTATCTCACCTGGTTGCCAGTAAAAGAGATTTCATTTCAAGAGTCATTTCTTGAAGCCAGGATATGTTTCAAACGACATGGCTGAGTATCTTGCTCCAAACTCTCACAATAATTTCCTGCTCTGGGTATAAGTTTGGCTATATTCTGTTTTATTGCTAAGCAGTACAGGACAGAATAGAAAAAAACTATAGTCAAATCCTTTCTTTTTTCTCCTTTTTCCATATAAAATGAAGAACCGGGGAGGCTTCCTATCTCAAGCTCTTAATAAATACATCACGTATAATAAATATCCAGCTTACCCATTCATTATAAATACTGGAGTTGTGTAATATAGTAAATACAAATTATGATGATATGACGATGATGATGATGATGATAATGGCTGTCTGTTCTTGTTGTTTTATAAAGTGTTGTGAAAATTGTAAGAAAGTCAAAGTATTTAAAAACAGTTGTACTTGTTTTTATTTATTTTTTTGTTTTAGTTTTGTTATGATAATATATTGTGTACCTATTGTAAATATGAAGCACACCTATTTTGCAAGCCAAGAATTCACTTTGTACTGTTGTTATATATTAAACTTTACTGGTTAAAAAAATACAGGTAGGTGGTGGTGTTTTGCACTTTCAATGACAAAAAAAAATCAAATTGCTTCTCAGTTTGTATTTAAATGTTTATCTACAGATTTTAAAGAAAATGATCGATGATTCTCCAACCATATACTGTACAGGCATGACATACTGTAAATGAAAGCCATCACTAACGCGTTTTTGTCAATATACAACATGGTAAATGGATAGTTTAAAACCCTCGTGTGTGCCAAAGTGCGCATGTCAACACTTCATGGTCGCTGTGAACAGGAATACCTCGATATTTAGAGGACGGACTGCTGCAGTAGTAGTGAAGTTGTTTTATCGAGCAAAGCTGCTGCGTAGTACTTGTTTATTCAACATTCAACTGTCTTTTAGTTTCTTTGCTTAACACCTCTACCAGTGTACTGTATATCAGTTTTTAACCATCACGTTACACGCCGTGAAAAAAAAAAACATGCATTTGTATTTAAGGTAAGCGACACTTCTTCCTTCTGCTCCTACGTGGTCGAAAAAACAGATTTTCTTAACTCTTGAGCTGACGTCATGATTCAAATTAGGGTGGCGGCAATTTTAAACTTGTTTTGAATCGGATTCTATGCTTATTGGTTAAATACATTGGATTAAGAAATAAACATTACTGCACAAAAATGTATGTATGCCAAAGACTTTATTAAGGTAGATCCTTTTCCCTTTCTCCTTCTACATTTTCGTGTTCTAGCGCAAAACATTCTCTGTTGCAATCTTATCTGCCTTTCCTCCCCAAAAAGTGTAACATTGAAGTATCATAAACTTATATTTATTCCATCAAGACGAACCCTTATTTTCATCGAACTCTCTAACGCTCTGGTTTTTAAGTGTGCAGAACAAAATTTCAATTCAAAAACTGATTGCAGCATCTCCTCAAATAGTGGTCCATTTTTATTGTGCAGTGATTCCATTCTCAGAAAAACACATCTTCACAATCATC